AATAAAAAAGGAAAAGCATTGTAATATAAACAGCTCTGGTCTCACTGTCCAGCTTGCAGGTGTCCATTAGACTCTGGTGAAGTAACTTGTGGCAGCTGCATTTGTAGGAGCCCTTTGGTGTTTGTTGGCAGACGTGGGAACAACACTCCCGAACTTGGCAGACACTCATTCTGTCTGAAAAATTGGAGAGCCAAAAAGAAAGTCAGATATTAAAGTAGAACAAAAAATCAAAGCCCAGCTTGTCGCCTCAAGCATTGAAGTGTCTTCTTAGGGAATCATATACCTCCACAGGTGTGGTGTCCGTCTTCTGGAAGCCTGGTTTGCAGGAGCAGAAGGCGTCCGTGCCATTGTGACACAGTGGGCTGTCTCCATCTCCACACTGAGTTCTGTTACTCCTGCAGTCATTCAGTTTGGTGTCTGAACACAAAAAAGTCAAACATTAGTTGGAAATTTTTTTTTAAAACAACTAATACTGCTGATACTTAACATTTCAAACCTCACATCTGTGTTGAGCTGTACGATATGATAATACTTTAATGGTCAGATCAAGTCTGAAATTTGACTTGCATCACAGCAAGTAACATCACTATCACTGAGAGAAAACGTGTTCACCCTTTCGTGTGCATTTGATCTGGGATTTAGCTCTGTATTTACTGTGAGGATTGACTGATGCACAAAGGAGTGCTTCATTCTGACTTTATTGAAACGCGGGACTCTGAATCTCCCATTAGATGGTAGCAGTTCATATTCACTGTTCAGAACATGGTTTGGGTCCGAGATTATGTTGTTGGACAGCCTTATTAGGTTGTTATGATAGGCTGAGTCATAAAGTCTCTGACAGGGTTGACCAACAATCTTTGAGCAGATTTTTAACAGGTGGAGCAGTTTTGATTTTAAAGCTGTTGACAAACATTTAACATAGAAACCAGTTTTGACATGAGGTACCTGTCTTGCAGTTGATCTCATCAGAGCCATAGTCCTCACAGTCGTTAAAGATGTTACAGCGCAGAGTGGAGCTGATGCATCTGCCGTTAGCACACAGGAACTCGTCCTTCTCACATGTGGGAACAGCTGGAGTGGTCTCTGTGGACATAAAACAGCACACACACAAATACGAGTCAACAATCTCCTTGATCAAAGTCGAGGAAAGAAAGGATTTAACAGCAATTTGAACGACTCCTCAACTTACGGCAGTTGAGTTCATCCGAGTTGTCGCCACAGTTGTTGACACCGTCACACCACTTTGACACTTGCAGACATACACGGTCATTTTGGCAGCGGAGAGCTCTGGTGGGAGGACACTGGAACCTCCCTGAAAGCCGAACAGAGAAAGAGGACAAGAGGGGGAAATAAGAGGATGGAAAATAGGTCAGGTCAAAAGAAGGAGGATAGATATTCAACATTTTGAAGTGTGTGATTTCTCGAGGCTGCACTCACTGCACTCTTCAGGATTCTCGTCAGAGTTGTCTCCACAGTCGTCTTCACCGTCACACTTCCATGCGAGGGGTTTACACAGCGTGTTGTTACACTGGAGCTCATCCAGAGGGCAGTGACGCCCAGCTGAGGAAAACAGGACGAGCTTTTTGAGTACTTTCATTTTTATTTGTTCCGTTCATGGTGTGCACAACTTAATGTATAACAATTATTTACAACATGTCTCTATAAACACACCATACCCGAAAAGGAGCAGGGAGAAGAAAATCCTCTTATATTACCTGCCCCTTGCTCAAAATAAATAAATAGAAATAGATGGTCTGTCCTTCATATTTTCTTATTCACAGCCAATCATAACAGTATCGTAGGAAAATAAGAGAAACACAAAAACGTACAAACTACTACTTCAAGCCAGACAAGGTTGAAAAGACAAATATTAGCATAGAACTAACTAACTAATACAATTAAATATAACAGCATATAGAGACACAAACCGACACTTACCACCACTGCCACAATTGTCCTCATCGCTGCCGTCAATGCAGTCGGGGTCGGCGTCACATCGCCAGCGGATGGGGATACAGTGACCGTTTTTACACTGGAACTGGTCGTTGTCACACTTCAGATCACAGCCATTCTGAAGAAGCATCAGTGGCATAAGTAACACATAACACATACTATTCAACTTTCTATCCAGATGAATACCAGAAATTATATAAAGGACATTAAGTTTCTGCACCTCATCAGATCCATCAGCACAGTCATGGTCTCCGTCACACTTCCACCTCCCAGCAATACAGCGGCCGTTCGTGCAGGCAAACTCGCTTTCTGAGCATTGTCGAGGCACTACAGAAAAAGATAGATAAGCAAACAAGGTCAGTGACATGACACAAAGTTTAACACAACTAACAGTTAGCTATGACTGTTCCAGCCTTCAGCACAAAACACAAGACAAACTTTGAAACAACCACAGAGGAAGACAGAAGGAGGTGATGTGAGAGAATGAAAGGAGCTCAATGTTGTTTAAATGACTTGATTTATTTGTGGTGTTTACATGTTATTGTAATAATATTTTTGTTAAAATGTTCCATGTGGATGTGGATTCAGTTTTGTACATTTTATTAATTTAGGAAAAGACATTCCTAAGTGTGTATCCAATGCCTTTATTGGACAAAGCACTGGCACAGTTGCATGCAAAGAAAAACAAAGGATGACAAACTATTTATATTCTCAAACTCTTGGATAGTACTTCATTGTTATGTTTGCTTGTATTGTAAACTAAAGTTCCGTCAGGGAAGATGATGTCAGAGGATATTGCGGACAAGGATACATTTTAAAGTGTTTTGGTTGATTTAGATATTCAGTTGTATTTATTCGAGCAGTATAACGTTATGCAGTGGCATCTAAAAGGAAATAGAATAGCTAGCTGTTAAGCAAGCTATTGTATCGTTACTAAATGTATCTATCTAGAGCTCAGCTTTCAGACTCTCACAGATGGTGGGGGTCACTGCAGGACAGGAGCGTGAGAGTGGAGACAGCATGGGGCAGCAGACACAGCAGAGAGGTGACATATGAAGGTGGAGTAACTTACCTCTAGCTCATGCCAACAGGACAGTATGAAATTAAACAAATATCAGATGAAGTGAGATGCACCAGAAATGACAGAGAATGGATGTGTGACTTATTATGCAGAGTTAACAGGTTAGTATGCTACTAGTGGACAAGGCATGAGTGTAAGTGACACTGGACCAGGTGAGATAACAGATGCCAACAGTACAGTATGGAGGCCTTGTCTCTGAACTGAAACGTACTGCACTTGTCTTCATCCGAGTTATCCCCACAGTCGTTGTCGTAGTCACACTGCCAGCGGCCCGGCACACAGCGGTTGTTCTTACATCTGAACTGGTACGGCTCGCATGTCCTTTCAGCTGGGCAAATAACAGAACATGTCAAGAAAGCAACAACAGTGCACCAAAGGCCTCCTTAGTTGCGTCTGTCTAATTTTAAAAGGAGATGATATTCTTACCACACTCCTCTTTTGGTTCATCTGAAGCATCGCCACAGTCGTCCTCGCCGTCACACTTCCAGCGAGCAGGGATGCATCGCCCGGAGTCTTTGCATCGGAACTCGTCCACACCACAAGTCATCTGGGCTGGAGAGGCACACATTTGGGGGTGGTTACATTCCAGTGTTAATTTCGTCAACGATAACTATGACGAAAAATATTCGTCAACGACCTTGTTTACATGACTAAGACGAGACGATGACGAGCTAAAAATAGATTTTTGATAATAAAAACTATGACGAAATGTATATTTTGTTTTCGTTGACGAGACAGGACTAAGGTGTTAGTGGTGGACTATCAGACATTCAAAAGGCAGGATATTTTCCCCCAATTGTCTGTCTTGTCTGTCAAAATGCATCCCTGTCATTGGTTGAATTAGTTGGGATTCTGGGAATCTGCACATGTCACTCATATTACACAAGTAAAGTGTTAAGAGAGTGAAATGTTGCTTTACGAATTTCAACACTTGATACCGTCACCTTGAATCCAATTTCAGATACCTGTATTAACTAAATTAGTTTAAAGAGAGAAAACATTTGGACTAAAAGTTGACTAAAATGTGACTTTTCATCGAGTAAAACTGGACTAAATCATTTTGAGTTGTCGTCGACTAAAACTAGACTAAAACTATGAAGGATAAAAAGGATAAAATGTGACTAAAACTAATAACCATTTTCGTCTAAATACTACGACTGAATCTAAAATAGCTGCCAAAATTAACATTGTTACATTCAATTAGAGATGTCCCGATCCGATCACGTGATCGGGGATCGGAGCCGAACACGTGATTTTCAAAAGATCGGAATCGGGAGGAAAAAAATCGGGGATCGGGATTTTTTTTTTTTTTTTTTTAAATAATTTTTTTTTTTTTTCTTTATTCAATGTTACAAAACAAAAATGACCATGTTCAAGTCTTAAAGTCATCCTGAGGCCTTAGTTTTTATACCATTATCGAGAGAGAGAGAGCGGGCGTAACGCTAGTCAAGCAACACGCGAACCTTAAGTTTGGGGGTTTATTTTCGAAGAGTCATGAGCGGTGAGCGCGGGACGGTGGCAGACAACGTCTAAACTCGCTTGATGTGTTGCCGAGATACTGTTGTCGGTTTCGTCGGGTATGACGAATCAACACATGANTTTTTCTTTATTCAATGTTACAAAACAAAAATGACCATGTTCAAGTCTTAAAGTCATCCTGAGGCCTTAGTTTTGGTTTCAAATTACACAACATCATGTATGTGTTGCTTCTTTGGGGCTTGTTTTCATAGACCTGGTTGCTTATTTCTCTCAAATCTGGCAACAGAGTGGGCAGGGCGCAGTGTCTGAGTACTGATAAGCTTTATTTTGTTTTGATCCAATGCTGCACAACTGAACTGATCCAATGCTGCTGTGAAAAAAAGAAGCTATATCCATATAAATAATATTCAATTTAAATAAAAAAATAACCTTAAGGGACAACTTCAATGCTTTTTTTCTTTTTTTTGTCTTAAAATGCATTGCATAAAGATCGGATCGGGAAAAATCGGTATCAGCAAATTGTCAAAATCAAATAATCGGAATCGGATCGGGAGCAAAAAAAGGTGATCGGGACATCCCTACATTCAATAGTTGATTTAGATGACTCATACTAAACAAACATTCCTAAAAAGATAGAGACTTACTGCAGTTGGCGGGCTCATCAGATCCGTCCACACAATCATTGTCGCGGTCGCACACCCAGACACGAGGAATGCAGCGCTTGGTGATGGCACACTGGAACTGGGTGGGAGCGCAGGTGACCTCGGCTGCGGGAGAGATTTACAGATTTAGAGTTACTCTGTGAAATATATCATAAAATGATATAGCATTTCAGGTCCGGATCTCTATCCTAAATTATGTAAATGAGAAAAGCTTTGACTTACGGCAGTCTTTCTCATCCTCTCCTTCTCCACAGTTATCCTGACCGTTACAGCGGAAAATGCCTGGGATGCAGCGGCTTGGATGGGAACACTTGAACTGGCTGGGCAGGCAAACGTGAATATCTGCAGTGCAGTTACACAGGGAGAGCAACAGAGAAACAAGAAAGAGATCTGATAAATAAAGTACATGTTGCCCTGTCGTTTTATAGTTGTAGACTACTATCATCATCTTCTAATTGTGTAAGGTCATTATTAGGGGGTAAATAACCTTAGTAATTGTTTAAAATTATTATATTATTATTAATCAATTTATTGAATATTGTCATAAAACATTTTTTTATAATAATAATAAGTATAACAAAGAGATGCAAAACAAAACAAAATTAAAATAAATACATTCTCAAACAGACTGTCATGTTCAACAGGGGCAAGAAGCTGCTTAAAAAAACGTTTCTGGTCCTAAACCCTAGCGTCATGTTCGTACGGAGCCCCTAAACTTTAAGGGACAGTTGGGATCTCTCGTGCTCACGAGATACTAACCCGTTATCCCGACTTTTTTTTTTCTCTCTTTCTCTTTTTCATGTCCCTTTATGGGACATGACGAATGATTTGGTATCTAAATAACAGTTTTAGTTTAGATAGACTTGTACAATATTTCAGCTCATCATTATTGTTATTCCACAGGTCAACTTAACAATATAATAATAAGAGAGACATACCGCAGTTGGCCTCATCCGAGCTGTCCTGGCAGTCGTTGTCTCCATCGCAGATGTAGGCAGGGTTGGTGCAGATGCCGGTGCCACACTGAAACTGCCCCGGCCTGCATTTGAACTCCGCTGTTGTGAAAAAAACAAGTCAAAGTGTGTCAGGATCATGCTAGAGGTATACCACAATATTATTAACACTCAATTCACACACATACATACGTTACAGGAATGCAACACCCTCCTGATTATTTTTCTCAAACACTTACGGCAGTCTGCTGGCTCATCCGACCGATCACCGCAATCGTCCTCCGTGTCACATTTCCACCAGAAAGGAATGCACTTGTCATTCTTGCACACGAACTAAAGCAGGAAGAGCGACAACAATCAAAGAGATGATAGGGCATAACAGCAGGAGCTACTGTAGCTACTGAAGAGAGCTGGGCAGCCAGCCAGCTGTCAATACACATTCATCAGGCATAAGCAGTTCCTCAAACAAGCCATAGAGACATGGAGATATGAAAATCCACAATCAACTGTTCCCATTCAGAGATATTCGAATTGATGATGATGTTTACTCCGCTTCCTCACCTGGCTGGCGGTGCAGTTGGACATGCATGCGCGCTGATCACTGGCCAGGTAGAAGTTGGTGGGACAGGCACACTTATACCCTCCTCCAGGAGAGAGGAGGCAGAGGTTACTGCAGCCGCCATTGTTCGTCTGGCAAGGGTGGTTTAAAACTAAGGAGATGGAAAGTGGGGAAATGGTTTAACCTCGGATTGCATAGATATATTTTCAGGCTGAGGTTATATAATATCTGGATTAAAGAAGGGAAAATATATGTTTGAGAGTGGATTCGTTATACTAATCTGCCCATACAAAAATATACTTAACACAATTTAAAGCTTTGTCAAAGCTTCATTCTTGGACTGGTTGTTTAGTTGGTAAACATTATTCTGTATAAAAAACTGAGCCACTAAAATATGTTTTTAACTTTTTGGGGAATTTGTAACAAATTTAAAATATGATAAATTGGAAGTACCGGTAGTTAATCCGTGTATCTACTGTCCAATTGTTTTTCTTTATTAAACACGTAAACGGAAGAGCGTTCGAGAGGCCTTTTTGCTTTTTACCTTACTAAATGGTCTAATGGTCATTGGAGCGAGGGGCGGGGCGAAACTCACGGAAGTGATTTCAAAACAAAAGCACTCGTTTGCTAAAATCACACTTTGAATCACTACAGTATCCTGCTGAAGGACCGCTGATTATTATAAACAAGGGGAATTTAGCGATCACAGCGAAAACGGCCAAGACACTTATTGAGCCCAGAAAATGGATGTTATTAAGGGCTGTAAATATAATAAGCCTATGTCTAAAATGGACTACATTGTTAGGAGATTTAAACTATACAGCGATTCTGCACTGCGGTCACTCAGCCGCCTCTCGCGTTTGTTTTTTCAAATCAGCTTCTCTTAATTATTCCTGCTATATTTGACGAGTGAAACAAATATTTGTTACCACAAGTTCTTAAGGAAACTGACACTGTTGGACTCGGTTCTAGTTTGACTTCTACCAGAAATAAAATGAAGTACTTTTACTGTGTACTTTGTGAGTAATCCTCTGTCAAAGTCCCCTCTTTAGTACATAATGCATGTTTTTCTGCTATATTTGATGAATGATAAACAAATATAATTTTACAATTAGTTCTTAATGAAATTGATACGGTTTGACTTTGTATTAGTTAGCCTACTACTTACAATACATTGAAGTACTTTTACTGTGTATTTTTTGAGAAATCCTCTGTCAAAGTCCCCTGCTGAGAACAAAATCAAGCCACTTCTGCTCAAGTTTGATGAGGGAATTCTTTTTTGTTGCCATTAGTTCTTCGTGAGATTGATCCTGTTGGACTCAGTACTAGTGAAACTACCCCCACAAGTACTATGAAGTACTTACTGTGTACTTTTCCAGTACTCCTCTGTCAATGTCCCCTCCTGAGAACAAGAATGCATGTTTCTCTGCTATTTTGAATAAGCGTTAAAAAACCTTTCTTCATGAGACTGATATTGTTGGACAGAGTATTTTAAGAGGATGGTAGACTGCACACTGACACACTCTGTCAGTCTTGTTGGCCTCTTATGATGCTGCTGTCTTTTAAAATATGATTATTTCTCTGCTCCAGTTCATTCCTCGCAGATTCTCCCATCAGTCCCAGTCATTGCATGTCAGTCAATAGAGCTTTGAAAAATGTGTCCAATTCAACGAAATGTTTTTTTGTGAGTGAAGGCCAGAGCTAAATTATAGATTGTTTGATTTTGTAATTGCAAGGTGAGAGAAAATAAATCCACATCCTTCTATGAAACGTATTTTATTTCCTTTTCCATTGTTATACTTACTTGCATTAGAACATTTGCATGTTGAACTACATGCTGGATATCTTCCCAGCCTCAAGGAAATACAATAAAATAAATGGATTCATAATTAAAAAAAATTGATAAAAATGTATAAATTAATAATGTTGTGGGCAAACATTTCAAATTTAAATATAAAATGAAAAATAAGTTTACTTTTGAAATGATTTCTCACAAAAACCTTTCTAAATTATAGTAAACTATTAAAAAAGGTTGGATCAATATACGTTTTTCTGCCTAAAATAGTCGACATTGAACGTAAACTATATCAAACACCACATGCATGGCAATTAACCCATTTTTGCCCGCTATTTAAATTGACTTTGGTTAGTTAATACAAATATTGATATTATATATATATAATATATATATATATATATATATATACAGTGGCGCAAAAAAGTATTTAGTCAGCCACCAATTGTGCAAGTTCTCCCACTTAAAAAGATGGGAGAGGCCTGTAATTTTTAACTATGAGAGACAAAATGAGAAAACAAATTCAAGAAAATCACATTGTCTGATTTTAAAATAATTTATGTGCAAATTATGGTGGGAAATAAGTATTTGATCAATAACAAACAAACAAGATTTGTGGCTCTCACAGACCTGTAACTTCTTCTTTAAGAGCCGCCTCTGTCCTCCACTTGTGAACTGTATTAATGGCACCTGTTTGAACTCGTTATCAGTATAAAAGACACCTGTCCACAACCTCAAACAGTCACACTCCAAACTCCACTATGGCCAAGACCAAAGAGCTGTCAAAGGACACCAGAAACAAAATTGTAGACCTGCACCAGGCTGGGAGTACTGAATCTGCAATAGGTAAGCAGCTTGGTGTGAAGAAATCAACTGTGGGAGCAATTATTAGAAAATGGAAGACATACAAGACTACTGATAATCTCCCTCGATCTGGGGCTCCAAGCAAGATCTCACCCCGTGGGGTCAAAATGATCACAAAAATCCCAGAACCACACGGGGGGACCTAGTCAATGACCTGCAGAGAGCTGGGTACCAAAGTAACAAAGGCTACCATCAGTAACACACTACGCCGCCAGGGACTCAAATCCTGCAGTGCCAGACGTGTCCCCCTGCTTAAGCCAGTACATGTCCAGGCCCGTCTGAAGTTTGCTAGAGAGCATTTAGATGATCCAGAAGAGGATTGGGAGAATGTCATATGGTCAGATGAAACCAAAATAGAACTTTTTGGTAAAAACTCAACTAGACGTGTTTGGAGGAGAAAGAATGCTGAGTTGCATCCAAAGAACACCATACCTACGTCTAGTTGAGTTTTTACCAAAAAGTTCTATTTTGGTTTCATCTGACCANTCTTATTTCTCTGACTTGTTGTTTTTCTCTTTCTCTGCTTCAGAGCGGGCACTAGACTGTGCCTCCAGTGGGTGCCAGTTTCACTGTGCTGTGACTCATGATGGGCCTCTGTGCTACTGTAGCAACGGCTATGAAGTCGCTGCAGATGGAAAGACGTGTAAAGGTGAGTGGGTGATTTGGAAGATGTATTTTAGCCTTGCCAAAGTAAAATTCATGAAAATCATCTGATTATTTTGACTTTTTGCTTGCTGGCTGCATTCAGAGAAAATAAGAATTGTTGTTTTGTTTTTATCAAACCAAAACCAAGATAAAAGATCAAATCATATTCCAGTGTTTGGTATTTCCCTTTGCTTTTGTTAGCTATTTCCTAAAATCTTAAGCACACCCAGTGCAGTGAATTGTAACAAGTTGTGTAGAATCTCTGTGTATTTAATCCCTGACTGTGTCTACAAATGCATTGTTTTTTCCCTGTAGATTTCAATGAGTGCAATGTGTACGGGACGTGCAGTCAGACGTGCACGAACACTAATGGCTCCTACATCTGCAGCTGTGTCGAGGGCTACCTGGTGCAGCCTGATAACCGCTCCTGCAAAGCCAAAAATGGTGAGAAGGCACAAACACAAAATGATAAGATGTATTTATCAACCCTAAAAAATGAGTATATTGGTTTCTCCTGCTGTATCGTCTTTTGGTTTACAAGCTTGTTCACTAAAGAGCTTTTATGTATCTTCATCTCCTCTTCCTATCTCTTCCCCCTTATCCCTCCTCTCTCTCATTTTGCCCTCTCTCTCTGTGTCCCCTCCCCAGACCCAGTGGATCGTCTGCCTATGCTGCTGATTGCTAACCTCAATGACATCCGCTGCACTTCTCTGAGTGGATCCACATCCCGGCTGCCCTCCATTGCCACCAAGCAGACCATGGCTATGGACTTTATCTATGCCGAGGACACCGTGTGCTGGATAGACGTCGGTGACACCCCTGCTGCCACCCAGCTGAAGTGTGCCAGCATCCCTGACCTCAAGAGTGTCATCAACATCCGCACCATCAACATTTCCCTCAGCCTGCATCGTGAGTCGTAGTTTCATTGACAAAAATGACTCTGATTGTAACATTTTATTTTCTGCTGACACAGAAAAATGTTGTCCGGTTCTTTGAGGGCCATGACTGTTTAGCTGTAGACTGCCAGCGAAAGAGAAACAAATTCCTTGCATACGAGCACTAAAGCAATGCTGAGGTAATCAGTTCGAGTTGTCAGCTCGCTCCGTGTGAAAATTCTGTTCTTTGCCTCAGGAATCAAATGGTCAACTTTGCATCTGCTAGCTCAGACCAATGTAAGACGTGAGGCAATAAAGCCTCATCTCCGAAAGCTGCTCAGACCAGCATAAGTGCCAAATAGAAAACGCTGAGTCCAGCTTTATTTTTTAAAAGGTTTGTCTTTGAAGAACAGGGGCTTCCTGACACACTACTAAATCATCCCGTAGAGGCAGTATATGTGTGTGTAGTTTACTTACAGTGATATGATTCATTTATGGCTGGCAGCATGCCTTCAGGCATCCATTTGCACATTTCTTGACAGGCAAACTGTTACCTACTGTGTAGCCTGATTTATGTACCAACTGTGCATTGCTATTCATAAGCTTGGAAATGTATTTGTTCCAGTATCTTGTTTAATGCATTTGAAAGTGATCGTTTGTAGCCAACTCTGGCTCTGGTTTTGATATGACATTTGGCGCTAGGTTCTCCTACAGAAATGCTCTGTGGCTTCATAAGCCCTCCCAAATACTGTACATTTTGTTCCGAAGGGTGTTGTAGGAGGACAGCAGCGCATGATTGTATGTAGAAGGATATAGGAGTTTAATAAACCACAACAGATACAAATTGACAGTGAAATGTCTTGCCGGTGAAGGCAACGTCCTGACTCGCGCTTTCACACAGACACAGAATAACATGCAGACTATGAGAGCACTGCCCTCTGAGAGACTTGTTCATATAATGCTGACATGATTTATCACTGATTACGAGCCTGACAGGATTTGTTTTTATGCGCCTGGCTGACAGAGCCGTTACTCCCTAAGAATGGGGGCAGAAATGTAGACAAAACATAAACGCAAGGGTGTGAGTATGTGCGTGTGGGAAGCGTTCCCTTGAGAACTAGCCCGAGGCCTGAAACGTGTAGTGGACATTTTGTTAACATGAATCTTGTTTTACTCTTTTGAGCTACTCTATCAATCTATGATGTACTATACAGAGGACATCCTGGTCTTTCCAGTGATATGTCATTGGTTAAAATTGCATGCTGGGAGGTTCCTCTTTCTTTTCATCCAAAATGGCAGGCATGCCAAAATCAAAATGTTATAGAAGCAGGTCAAGTAAAATATTGTTGAATAATTGTAATTTTTACCATGAAAATCATATATGCTCTTGTTTATTAACATGTGAGGAACTATATAATTAGTTATGAAAGCAATTAAATAATAAAAGTTTTGAAATAACAGCTCTTTTATAAATGTCCATTCTAGTGGACGTCAGGGCCATCTTCCTGGACTTAATGACTCAATATTGTTGCAGGAGATGGAAATGAAGCAGACATTTTCTGTACCAGATAGTTAAGGGACATTCAGATTTGGAGCTCTCAGATGATGAGAGAGATGAGGATGAGTCTTTGAAGATCTGGAAAGATTCACCAAAAACCAAACTAGTTTTTTAGTGACCAAATAAACGGCAATGTTCAGATCAATTACTTATTTATGTTTTAAATAAAGGTGAATGTATTCTTGTATTAATAACCATAATACGTTACATAGTCTATCTGTTAATTTTGGCTGTCTTTTCAAACTAAAATGGTCCTGACGTCCTCTACAGTGGATATACTGTAACATTTATAAATAAAATTTTAAAATACTAAATTACAAGATGTTTTTTAACCCTAAATAGGTAGGAAATAAAAAATAAAGAAGATTGGAAAACATTTTTTTCCCTCGGTTCCCAGATATGCACTTTAAATGACGCTTGTGCAACTGCTGTCTCTGCTGACAACCGGGCAGATCCCAGGCTCAGTGAACTCCAGCATTTTCCAGTTGATTCAATGCACTCTCATTAGTTACCCATATCCCACCTTACCCTCATTGTGTTGGCTTGCCAGTGTGCCTTCCAAATCCACTGCTCTGTTAAGTGGTCTGAGAGGTAAATGGGGGCGAGGGGTGGAACTGTAGAGTGGACCCTGAGAGAAAGATTGACGCAAGGGAGACAAGGCAATGATAAAATGAGAGGGGGGGGGTGAAAAAAGGTAGTGATTTTCTGTACCTTGGAGGTGTGTGTGTGTGTGTGTGTGTGTGTGTGTGTGTGTGTGTGCGTGTGCAAGTGGTCATGCAGATGGTATTTACATTCCTCTGTTGGGTTATGTCAGCCTGAACAACCCCTACATTCCTCGGGCCGTCTCATGTCCTGTCCAGTCAGGTCACTTTAACACGCTCATAGCTGAGGTTCAGATGCACACACTGACCCATATACCTTTGACTCACAAACCCATAACTTAGTGACATATTCACTTTTATGATTTGTGACTTTTTACTCATTCCTTTGCAATGCCACTGTACACATACTGTATATATCCATGTGCTGTCTCACTACTGTACACTTTAGATAATCAGATGGTTGCATTGTGCCCTTGTTTTTCCAAAGTCAACCTGTAAATGAGAGGCAGCATCTAAAATTAAACTTTAATAGGCATTTGCTTATACATTTAAGTTGTATCTTATCAAATGTTTGTATTAGAAAGTGCAGTTTGGAAAACAATTGTGTAATTGATTTCCTAATCAATCTAGGATATGGCTGGGTAGTGAGCTGTGTCGGGCGTATTGACTTTCCAACGGCTCTTTGCTTTGCTTTGGTGTACAGTTAGGGTTTTCTGGAAAGGGTTTCTGCCCGGAAATTGTTTAGTGTTGGTAAGCCACCAAGATCTTGTTGCATCTTGTCTTGTGTCTAAGAACAATAAACACTCTCATTAAATGACGGTGATTTCCTGTATGACATGGCACCGTTCAATTTTTTTCCTGGAAGTTTGTTTTGTTTCATAAAAATCGATTGAGATGTTATTTTATGAAATTAGAAAAGGTGTACCGCCACTATGAAACACTGGGAAAACCCTGTCTGCAGTCAATCAGGGAGCAAACAGACAAGAGACTCTCCTTGTATTTTGGCTGACTCATCATTTGAAAGTTGCATCAGTCTGGCCTTTCCACTGTGATAAAGAGCAAACAAAAACCTCTGTGTTATTTGGTCTGGGTCAAAAGGCAATTTACTGCTTTTACTGGATGATTTCCATTCTGGTCATTCACTTTAAAATGCTGCAGGTCTTGAACAAACCATTTGCCATGTTTTTCTTGAACATTAGCTTGCTCTTTCAAAACATTTCTGATTTCATAAATGGGGCCAGCGTGGGCTCTTTGTCTGCCCCATTTGATGTTTTATAACGAGTGGGGCTCAGGTGCTCTCCTAGGGCAAACCTAGGGATTGGCCTTAGATGGATATGGATGAAGGCAAGTGGGGGTTGGTGCAGGGTTCACATAAACAGTCTGATTTATAGCTTCTGGGAGCCGGGCAGATAAGTGGACGAGGGTTCCAGATGTGGCCCGCTCTGTCTGTATGTGTGAGTCTCTGACTGGGAAGATAAAAGGAGTGCAGAGCCTACTCATCCCATCCTTTTCACCCTCAGAGCGGAACTCCTCAGCAGGGACCAACCCCCCCCCCGTGTCCCACTGCCCATCGTTCATACCTCCATCTTCCTAGCCTTTGTTCTTCAGGGTTTTTTCCAGAATAAATCAGTGAACAGAAATGACTATATATTAGTCAAGATCTGAGTATTAATGTATAGTTTATTGGGAAAAATCCTCCAAGGCATTCGGTCTTATCAGAATCAGAGTTTACTGTATTTTATTTGTACTAAATACTAATGTGTTAGACTTCAATGTACTACATTATCCAAATAGAGCATGACTATCTGACCTAGAGGACATGTGTTTAACCCATTGTTTCTTATCAATAGTTTTTAGTCATGGGTGGAATTATGTCACATTAGCCCTGGCCATCCGGTCTTCCTTTCCAGCCAATAACCTTTCTTTTCCACTTGCAGCAGATGGGGATTTGCCAATGGCATAACTGTTAGGAATTATAGCCTCTTAAATAGAGTTCATATGTCGGATCCTTACGGAAAATCATAATGGCTTCACTTTGAAACTCTGCTTATGAGAGGTCAAAGAGTTTTTTTTTGCACAGATTAATAGGATACTCTTGGCACGGGGAGGATTATGAAAGCAGCATGATGAAGATTATTTTCTGCTTCGCGCTAAAATTTAAATAAAGGAATACGCGCACTGACATGCAAACAGAGGAAATAACATTCATGAACACATTTTAAGATGCTATTCACGAGTCTATGCGCTGCTGGGTGACTAGGTTGAAGAACTCAAAGGCTGTGGCCCTGTATGTAAATACCTATGCTATTTTGGCAGAAAGCATGTTTGTTGTTGCCAGTAAGACCCCCTCAGTTTGTGAAACGTTTTCTCAGAGTAGTGTGAGCTGTTAGGTGTTAAGGGCAGGAAGCGAAATGGGGTTGTGAGGGCAGGGTGGTTGGATGAGGAGAAAGGGGTGGGTTCATTCAGTTTCCCAGCAAACGTACCACTTTCCAGAATCTGAGTAAGTGAGCATGTCAACAGACTGGCTGGCTCTGGATAAGGGGGTCTACTAGATTTAGGCTGTTGCACAACGCAATAGAAACTGTGTTGCATAACTGGCTCCTCTGCTCTGTATATGAATCGAATCAATGCTTTGTGCAGACAGGCTTCCAGCTGGATTTCTTTAAAGGAGTGTGGTTTCAGAGCTGATACCAAAGGGAGTATCACTATACCTCTCAACTCCATGACAAACTTCCCCCCATTGTCAGAATTGTGGTTCTGTTGTTTATGAAACATCTTGGACTGGTTTTAACTCCCTCCCTCTGTTCTTTTGACTATGAGTTTTTAATTGCCCCATGCATTTACAGTTACCTCCCTTTTTTAAACGTTAGATATCCAAGTCCTTTGCCAATTGTCAATATATTATGTCCCGCCTCGAGGCACACCGTTAAATGTTCTTATATAGATTTATTTCGCTATGATTATCTTTCTGTCGAACAGTGCCTCAACCCCATCCTTCATGGATTCCCATGTTCTCCTCAGAACTGTTTATATTCTAGCACCAGGCATACTGTAAGTCCCATGTGAGGCAAGTCTTTTGAAGCTCTGTGTATGTTTGGTAGGTGGGGTGGGGGATTTTACATTAGGCCCAGATGTGTTTGCTCTTTTGTGAAGCTTGCTTTGGCTCTGTCTTTAAGCAGCATGGTTGTCATTGTTGGGGAGGCTCCAGCGCAGATGCTTTCTTTATGAATGGTCACAGCCCTAGGACGATTTGACTGAGGCTCCCTGTCAATGGTGTTAGAACTCAATCATGTACCCCAACATCAAAGTTGTTGCTTGGATTACCTGGAGAGACACGTGTGGTCACTTTGATACGTTATGTGTGAGTAGCGAGCCTGTGTGATGTGTATGTGTGTATACAGTGTTCTGCTTTGAAAGGAAGTGTGGTGGCAGCTGTTAAAACACAAGGCTGAACGTATCTTCTCAGCAGGGTCTCCCTGTGGTTGGGGATTTCTGTACCCAGTCTCCTACAGGACAGAGGTTCTCAGAGAGGGAGAAATATTTCCTATGTTAACTTAACACTTCAATCCTCCCAATGCTGGGGGTATGTCTGAAATAAGTCCCCGTCAGCACATCTTCCTCTTTCAAAGTTGCCTTAGTAAGCAGTGGGGCTTCAAAATGTCAAGTTCCTTTATCACAAATGTTGCAATAGTATTTTTTGGACACTTTGACCTATCTTCAAGTTGATCGGTAGCATTTCATAGCTCCATGTGTCATGTTTCTGTGCTGCCATGGCAACATCTTTTTTTTTCCTTTGGTTTTTGTTATTACATTTCCTTCCTAACAAAAGTATGTTCATCCCTCCAGTAATTTTGAGAGAGATTTGTATTTATTAATTGATTTGAATGTATTGAATTCATTATTCAAAAAACAAATACAAGACTGCATTGCACTCACAAACAATGAAGCCCAAAGGCTTATTTCCATTGTGGTTCTCATTTATGCTATTCATACTTTGCCTAGTCACTTTTTGTTGTTTGGTTTTCCATTTATGGTCACACACATGTAATTGCTCTTTTTTTAACATATATGCACAGAGAAAGGTGTCATGTATTTTACGTCATGTGATCGGCTCTCCCGATCGGCCTTTATAGAGAGCACCGATTGATCGGCCAATACCAATCGGCGGCCGATCGATCGGAGCATCCCTAGTAGGCACACTGCTACTACTACTACTACCTACTAACTACTAACTACTACTGCTACTACTAACTACTGCTACTGCTAACTACTAACTACTGCTACTACTACTGCTACTACTACTACTACTACTACTACTACTACTACCATGTAAGTCTTAAGTATTTACAATAAGTGAGCCATGCATACACTACTTAAGAATTTCACAATACAGTATGTTCTTAAATTAATCAAAAATTCAAGTCTTCAAGAGAATCTCTCCTCTTACAGCAGTTATTTGTTATTTCTCAAATCCACTGAAAGGAGTTCAGCTTCGAAAAGTGCAGGCCTTCACCTCTCACTCTTTATCTGTCACTTGAGTTTTTCTTTACCTCCCCCCTGCCCTGCTTGCCTTTAATCAAAGACGAGTGGAGTGCTGGCAATGGACAGCCTGTTGGACCCGGCAGTACATGAAGATGATGGCTCTTATTAGTTCAGCGCTGTTATTTTGTTTTTCAAGAGTATGGGCACTCTTGAGGAGAGGGTCATGGCATCATGAAGTGAGGAATTTTGAAATGAGGCTGGATTATGACCAAGAGTTACGACTATGCGACTATGCTCCAAGAGTCTCTGTTTTTTCTTTTTAAATTCTTCTGTCCTGTACTCAACCTTCTCTCCTCTGCATCCTTCAGATGTGGAGAAGATGGCTATCGATTGGCTGACCGGAAACTTCTACTTTGTGGATGACGTGGACGACCGAGTGTTTGTCTGCAACAAGAACGGCCAGACATGTGTGACCCTGCTGGACCAAGAGCTGTACAACCCTAAAGGCATCGCCTTGGACCCGGCAATGGGGTCTGTACTTCCCTCAGCTCCTCTTGACCTAAGAAAGTACCCTCAGTACGGTTTTAGCATCATTTGAGAGGAAAATGCTGTCCTATGTTCAGACGACGTGCTGACCAAGCAGGCGGTGGAAAATCAAAGCACTTCCTCCAGATGGAAGCTAAGACGGATACTTGTGCGCCACACACACACTTGCATGTTTGCTGTTTCAGGTTCCTGATACCAACAAGTTGCTGAATGTAGTTCCCTTTTCTTAAGTATCACTTCTTTCTTTCAATTCTTCTGGAAATCATTTTGAATCCATTTCACTGACTCATACAGCCATCTCCGTTGTGGTCATTGGTGTTGTGCCAAGACAAAATGATATATGAAGTCAAATAGCAGTCATCCAATTGCTTAAAGTGGCTATATAAACGTTTAAAACCTTCCATAAATGAACCTTATCCAGAACTTAAGGGAGAAAGCAAGAAATAAATTCATATATATGATATTGTAAGTCATTCCCAGTGGAGCCCAGAGTAATCTCAGTTCAAAGCTCCTCTACCAACAGCGCAGGGTGTCATTATTTTATAGCCAATAAACTGTGCAATCAACACTCACTTCATAGTGATGAGCTACATCCATATTGCTACTTTAAGTCGGTTCCTTCTCTCACTAGTAAAAAATACATTTTCTGTCAATTGACCATTTAATGAACTGCCTCTTCCTTTTCGCTCGTCTTCTTCTGCTACAGCAAAGTGTTCTTCACAGACTACGGGTCTACGCCCAGGGTGGAGCGCTGTGACATGGATGGCCAGAACCGCACAAAGCTGGTGGACACCAAGATCGTCTTCCCTCATGGCATCACACTGGACCTGGTCAACCGGCTGGTGTACTGGGCTGATGCCTACCTGGACTACATCGAAGTGGTCGATTACGAGGGAAAGAACCGACACACCATCATCCAGGGCCTGCTGGTGAGGTTTAAAGGATGTTTGGATGGGTTTCAACTCATTTAAATACCAAGTACATCCAAACATACACAGAGATGCAGCCAAGGATATAGACTTCTGATTGTTCAGCCCTCTTTTAAAGGATAAACCAAACAGCAATAGCCTGACGTCTTAACTAACTTCAGATTTTCCTTCTTTAACACAAAACATGTGTTTTCCGAATCTGTATCATCATTGATTTAATATCAGTTTGAGAGATGGCAATGTTTTCCAGTTGCCTCCCAGCATTAAGGCAAACAGAACCTGCCTTCTATCTCCTTCGTAGTCCTTTTTATTGCCTGATTAATCTTACTAAAGAGTGTGTGATTTTGCTGCTTAGTGCCTCTCTTAACACATTGTCTGGCTCTAGTGAAGCTTGGCTAAAACGTAAAGTAGAGTAATGATCATAATGAAATCAGGACTGCAGAGATGGTGCTTGTGAGAGAAGTAGAGGAGGTAATTTGATCCCAGCCCATACATCTTTCTGACTGTAGAGGAGAGCTGCACAGAATAGAGCCTTTAAAAGTAAAACCTCTCTGTTTAACAGCAGAAGGGAAGAGGAGCCATTATGCTGCCCTGTGCCAAGTTTACACAAACTCTCTCTGTTTCTCTGTCCATGTCTACATTTGTCTGTCTCTGTCTGCCAGAGATCTATTCACATCTTGAGAAACTTTTAAGATTCATTTTATCATGATTAATAGTTTAAGAAAGTTTCATTATGCAGAAATAGACAAACAGCGTTCAAGATAGAATAGTCTCCACAAACTATAACAAGAGCCATCAGTCATTTGCACTTCAAGCTTTTTTACAGAGGTCTGGATTTATTTATTTTTTTAATGTTTTTATTGTTTTTCGTTTTTGTTACAATAATGAACAGACAAACAATATGAAGGCAGACATGGTCATCCTGGGTAAAGAGAAATGCTTACTATGTTGTAGAAAACATTATACATAATATACATAGATACAATATTGCACACACATCTATGCAATCACATTTAGATGCTCCAGCAGTATGTGCATACGTGTATACATATTTAGGAATGTAGGGCTAACAAAGGCAGGGTTACATCACGCTATCAGGGTCTAGAGGTCTGGATTTTCAAAAGCAAACCAAAAAAACCGTTTAATTTATTTTGTTGCTTTATGGTCTTTTTCAGATTGAGCACCTGTACGGGCTGACTGTATTTGAGAACTACCTGTATGCCACTAACTCAGACGAAAGCCACCTCAACTCAAAGACCAGTGTGATCCGAGTGAACCGCTTCAACAGCTCCGACTTCCAAGTGGTGACCCGGGTCGATCGGGGGACCGCGCTGCACGTGTACCACCAGAGGCGCCAACCCCAAGGTACAGGCTCTTAGCTTGACTCCTTACTCACCTAATCCTTTCCATTGATAAGTCACCATAGCATGACGGCTGGTTTTGTTGCCCCTCTCTCCTGGCTTAGTGCGCAGCCATGCGTGTGCCCTGGATCAGTTTGGGAAGGCTGGAGGTTGCTCTGATATCTGTCTGCTGAGCAACAGCCACAAAACCCGTACATGCCGCTGTCGCTCTGGATTCAGCCTGGGCAGCGATGGAAAGTCCTGCAAGAGTACGTTTAAAAAATATATAGTTTGCCAAAAATGAACCCCATCCCATTAGTTTCAGCACTGATGATGGCAATGAAGGTGGTTACACAATCGCTGACAGAAGTAATGACAGTTTTTCATTGCAAGTGTTTTCTTTATCGTGCAGAACCAGACCATGAGTTGTTCTTGGTGTACGGTAAAGGTCGTCCTGGAATCATCAGAGGCATGGACATGAACGCTAAGGTGCCTGATGAGTACATGATTCCCATTGAGAACCTCATGAACCCTCGAGCTCTGGATTTCCACGCACTTAGTGAATACATCTACTTTGCTGATGCCACCAGCTACATTATTGGCCGGCAGAAGATAGATGGCACAGAGAGAGACACTATACTCAAAGAAGGTAAGTACTTTCTTACCAAATCCTGGAATTTAAAGAGTTAAATCACATGGTCTGGTCATTACACGATCTTTTCATTTTATCCCCTTGATAGTCAATCTGAATTTGCCAGCTAATTTCTTCTCACACCGGCTTCTTTGGCTTATCTCAGGTATTCACACAGTAGAGGGGATAGCAGTAGACTGGATGGGAGGTAATCTCTACTGGACAGATGATGGGCCTAAAAAGACTATCAGCGTTGCCAGGCTGGAGAAGGCTTCTCAGACCCGCAAGACGCTCATTGAGGGAAAGATGAGCCATCCTCGTGCCATTGTGGTGGACCCCCAGAATGGGTGAGACACTAAAAGGGAGGGTATTTCCATCTTAAATAGGTGTTATTTTTCTCATAAATGTTTTGTTGAAGTTTTTAATGTTTGGGTGTAGCCGGATGTCCGAATGTATTAGGAGAAGATGGTTTGTGTCTTGCAGCTGTGTGGGCTGCCTGCATTGTAGATGTTTAGCACATTTGTTACATTGATGTGTCTGTGGGAGCTGATCAGCTTTCAAGGGATTTTTAGAAACTCCCTTGTTGTGTTGGTTGACATTTCAAAGGGCATGGAAACTTAAAAGATACATTTTGACTGCACTAGCTCTCACAGAATTGTCTTATCTTACTCCTCTTTTGAATGTGTGCCAGATGGATGTACTGGACTGACTGGGAGGAGGACCCCACAGAGAGCAACAGAGGAAAGATCAAGAAAGCTTGGATGGATGGCTCACATCACCAAGTTTTCCTGACGAGCAAGACAGTGCTGTGGCCCAATGGCCTGAGTCTGGACATTCCCCAGGGCATCCTGTACTGGGTGGATGCTTATTACGACCGTATTGAGTTGGTTTACCTCAACACCACCGAGAGAAAGGTTGGTAATGCTTTAATGTTTCGACTTTGATGTATTTCTGTGTATACAAATCATTTTAGAGATACTACTTGGGCGACTGTGGCTGCGAGAGAGAGCAGTCGTCTTTCAACCAGAAGGTTGTGGGTTTAATCCCACCCCATGCAGTCAACATGTCGATGTATTCTTGGGCAATCCTTGTGTGTGAATGTTGGTTTCCTAGAACAAGGTGCATTGATATTTATTAATGTGAATGTGGTGAATGATTTGTAGTTTGTTAAAGCGCTTGGAGGTATAAAGACCTGATAATAGCACAGTCCATTCATCTTTTTATTTACTTCTAATTCATGTGCAATGTCTTATCTATGGTGCTGTGACGAACAATGACCCCAAATTGGGATCATTAAAGTACATTTTATCTTACTATTTGAAAACATAAATGGAGATCTAACACCTATATGTTTCCTCACTCATCAGGTGGTGTACGAGGGACAGGAGCTTAACCACGCCTTTGGATTATGTCATTACAAACAATTTCTTTTTTGGAATGAGTACCGTGGCGGCAGCATCTACAAACTGGACCAAGTCACTAAGACAGTCACCCTCCTCCGCAACGAGAGGCCCCCTATCTTTGAGATCAGAGTGTATGATGCACACCAGCAGCAAGGTATAGCTCCCTTTTATCCTTTTCACGTCAAGAGTTTCTGATAAATAAAATGCGATGATAATATGTTCTTGTTTTTTTTTTTTCTTCTTGTAGGTTCCAATAAGTGTCGAATTAACAACGGTGGCTGCAGCAGTCTGTGCCTTGCTATTCCCGACGGCAGGTCCTGTGGCTGTGCTGACGATCAAATCCTGGATGGAGATAATGTCACCTGCGGAGGTACTTAGCGGCTTCACCAAACATCAATTAGGAGGGTTAAGGAAAAGTCATTACTCAGCAGGAGTTAAGACTGTTAAAGAATGCTAAGCTGGACTTTCCATTTGCTAAACTAAAGTCCACTGTGTTTGGGAAATCTGGAGAGAATTTTAAAAGACCTCCAATAATATTTTGCAACCTTAAGAGAGCTGAAAGCTGACCTCACCAAGGCTTTGTTTTGTTTTGGTGCTCGGCTCTTGTCTAAATGGCCCATCTGTTTCTCCCCCTGCCCCTGATCTCATCTCCAGCCAACCCCTCCTACGTGCCCCCGCCTCAGTGCCAGCCCGGGGAGTTTGCCTGCAAGAACAACCGCTGCATCCAAGAGCGCTGGAAGTGTGACGGGGACAACGATTGTCTGGACAACAGCGATGAGGCCCATGATCTCTGCCGTAAGCGTGCCATGTCATTGTCATAGTTACACAGCAACACATATATAAACAAAATCCTGTGTTTTAGGGCCTTAGCTCACGAGAACCAACAGAGTGTAAGCTACATTTTCCAAGATTGTCTCTTTCCATGCAGCGTAATGTGTAATTTCACTCTCAAGCTTTCCTCTTTGCCAGGCGATAGTTAGAAACAGGGACTCATATTTTTCTTGGACGTTGTTTTCCCTTCTCTCTTGATTAAAAGTGACATATTTAAAGGGCGAAGATGATTAAGCCGGCTTTATATTATATCCAAAACAGAAAACGTTTATTAACCAGGTGGCTTGAAGATTATTATTTTCCTTTCCCAGACCAGCACACCTGCCCAGCTGACCGATTCAAATGCCAGAACAACCGATGTATCCCCCTGCGATGGCTCTGCGATGGAGACAATGACTGCGGCAATGATGAAGATGAATCAAACACCACCTGCTCTGGTATGAACAAACATGGAGGTCCTTGTAGCTCAAGGAGTATTACAGTTTGGCTATTGGTTTGCAAGACCCGAGAAATGAATTGATCATCCCTGATTTGGTGTGGAACTAGGGTATTTGCTGTTAGATGATGAGTATTTTAAATAGTTTTAAATAGTTTCAAAATTGTATAATTGTAAAAAAGCATCATGTTGAGATTGAGAGAAACATTAAAAGTTAAATAGAGAAACAATGGACTTTGGCCAGACAGACAAGTTGCAAGTAAAGCAGACATGTTTGGATTTGTTCATTCTGAGTTAATCAGTTACGATTTGTGTGTTGGATGCCAGCATGAATTTGCAGTCCAGGAATATTGATCTACACCATTGTTATGGGAATAGGCTGGACCATAGCAACAGTACTCAGCTGACAGTATTTGTAGCTGTCTCTGTGTCTCCAAATAATTTAAGGAGACAGCAATATTTGTATTATATTTTATTTATATTGTATTTAGGTAACAACTATTTCAAGTACTCATTGCAGCAGTAGAATATGGGAAATTAGATAGTCAATATCTTATTTAAGGGCCATTAGGCAAAGCAAATGTAAATGTTGACTCATGGATATGGAAAGAGGAACCTTTAAAAAAACTTTCCCATTTTAACCCTTGTTCTCTTGCCAGCTCGCACATGCCCACCAAACCAGTACCCTTGTGCTAGTGGGCGCTGCATCCCCATTTCCTGGACATGTGACCTGGACGACGACTGTGGAGACCGCTCAGATGAACCAGACTCCTGTGGTGAGTCTTTATTTGCTCTTGCATATTGCAGCTTTTTTTGTAAGAACACCTTTACCAAAAGGCAATAAATAGGGTTATGATGTTTACGTTTTCTCTCTTTAACCATCCTCAGCCTACCCAACCTGCTTCCCTCTGACTCAGTTCACCTGCGCCAATGGCCGCTGCATCAACATCAACTGGCGCTGTGACAACGGTAACCCTCTTCTTAGACTTCCATTTGTGAGCTGCACATTTAAAAATTATGCAATAACCGAAAATGAAATATTTTACGTGTTTGTGTACAGACAATGACTGTGGGGATAACAGCGATGAAGCCGGCTGCAGCCATTCCTGCTCAAGCGTCCAGTTTAAGTGTAACAGTGGCCGCTGCATCCCAGAATACTGGACCTGTGACGGCGACAATGACTGTGGAGACTACAGTGATGAGACTCATGCCAACTGTACCAATCAGGGTAAGGACCAATAAAAGTGTGTACCAATCAGACATAGCTCTGGTCTAAGAGTTACTTTGTGGGACATTGTTTGTTCTTTCGCTAGCTGTATCCGAGTCAAGCTCTCATCAGACCTTGTGTTGTGTTTCAATTTGTTTACATGTTTCTTTTTTGCAGCAAAGAGGTTGTAACAATGAAAAAGGGATCATTTTTCTTTTTATCTGCTCTCCATGCCCCTGCCTGTCCTCTGGCTTTTAGATATCACTTGCAGAAAATCCTCTCTGTTGCTCTGTTCAGGATGTGATTGTGTATGTCGTTAGAGATAACAATTAAACTCTTTCCTGTGCTTGTGCAAAGGGCACAGATGTTTTGACTTTGCTGCAGATTTACATGTTTAGAGTTTAAAATAGCTGGCAGCCACATTTAGCTGTTTGGGAACATTATGTTTCACTGTGACCAGCGTTTTCCGCCAGGGGGCCGTCTTGCCGTCATTTGACGCCCTTATTCTGCTCGGGACGCCCTGAACGCGAGCCGAGGGCGTCCAAAAATATTAATAATTCGAGAGAAGATCGAGAGCTTTTAACGCTTGAAATGACGAAAAGGACAAGGACATCCCTCTGTTGGAGGGGCAAAGGAGTCTGGTGGGATTCTTTTCGGAGTATTGAAGATCGTTTCCCCGACATCGAAGGTGCCTGCTACAGGACAACATGGAACGTGCGCGATTTGGACGCGATGAGCGGGGGGGTTTTAGTGGAGCACGCGCGTGAGCTGCGCCTGCAAGCACCAGAGCCTCGCAGCGGCGAAACTGAGGCTGTGAACATTTGTGTAACGACTGGGGCGGCGTCATAGCACAGTTTTATAGTTTTTCTTCCGTCTGCCTGAAACATTTGCTTTTGTTTATTGTGTGTTTGTGTTTTGATGTTGTATGTGCTGTCTGATCCATGCAGACACACAGCCAATTGCTGTCAAGTCCCAGCATGCACAAACAGGGCTCAGCGTGACCTGTTGGTCTAATGAGGTGTGTGTGTGTGTGTGTGTGTGTGTGTGTGTGTGTGTGTGTGTGTGTGTGTGTGTGTGTGTGTGTGTGTGTGTGTGTGTGTGTGTGTGTGTGTGGCTCTTTCGCAGTCTGGAAGTCATTAGCTGAAATAAAAATGCAATACTATCGCCTTCCCCTCCTGTGTATTATAGTCCTGTGCTGAAAGGCCCATTTCCTGCCTCAGCCGAGCCAAGTGCTGACCTTTGCCATCAGGGGAAGTCATTGTGCCACATCACTGTTGGTGGCCTTTAATCTGCCTGTGACATCCGTCAGTGAGCTGTGTGTGTTATTGTTGTTTGGCTTGGCTCAGTGTTTGGTGGTTAAAACAGAGTCCGGGCATACCTACAGATTTATTAATGACTATAATGGCCCATTCTTTGTTCTCTTTGTTTTTTTGATAAACAGCACTCTTCCTCTTTTTTGTTGGATAACACTTTGTATTTCTGTTTTTTCTCCAGCTACCCGTCCACCAGGTGGCTGCCATGTAGACGAGTTCCAGTGTCGGATGGACGGCCTGTGCATTCCCATGCGCTGGCGCTGTGATGGAGACACCGACTGTATGGACCTGAGTGATGAGAACAACTGTGAGGGTGTGACCCACATGTGTGACCCAGCAGTCAAGTTCAGCTGCAGGGACTCTGGTGAGGGACTTCAGATGTTAAGGATGATTAGGAATGTTTGCAATAATGTTAGCACAAATAGGGTTTTATTCTCTGACACATGAGGACTAATAATTTCAAATGCAGCTTGTTTATGGTTTGTTTAATTTGTTTAAGTTATGACCGTAGCTTCTTATTCGGCAAGGAGGATTATTTATATTGGATAGTTGAAGTTTCCTCTATTTATGGACTCTCCAGTTCAATCTGTTCTGACTTTAAGGGTCAAGACAATTTTATAAAAATGTAATTCATTTTGCATTTCTGAGCAAATCCACTGATAACCCAAGCTTTAACTTGTTTTCATCAATCTGGATAAATATGTTTGAAATAAAAGTCTTAATGTTTTGTTATTGACAGCTCGTTGCATCAGCAAGGCATGGGTGTGTGATGGTGACAGTGACTGTGAGGACAACTCTGATGAGGACAACTGCGAGGCGTTGGCGTGCAAGTTGTCTCACCACATGTGTGCTACCAACGACTCCATCTGTCTGCCTGCTGAGAAGCTTTGTGACGGCACTGACGATTGTCCGGACGGCTCTGACGAGAAACTTTGTGGTACACAAAAACATTTGACTTAAAGCGCAACCCAGGTTAAAAACATACTACTCCCCTGTGTAGGATTTGTTCCAACTCTTTCATCCTGTTCTTCCTGGCAGACTTGTGCTCACTAGACAACGGTGGCTGCAGTCACAACTGCAGCATCATTCCTGGGGAGGGCTTCATGTGCTCGTGTCCCCTGGGCATGGAGCTGGGAGCCGACAACAAGACCTGCCAGATCCAGAGCTTCTGCGCTAAACACCTCAAGTGTAGCCAGAAGTGCGAGCAGGAGAAATCCAGTGTCAAGTGCTCCTGCTACGAGGGCTGGGAGCTGGAGGCGGACATGGAGAGCTGCAAAAGCACTGGTAATTAAGAACAGGGCCTTTATGCCATTAAACGTGTATTTACTGATGCAAATCAATTATTTGTACCTTTTAGATTTAGAGCACTATAATTGTTCTTGGGCTGAAGAGGCTTTACCATACTGATTCTACTCTATGTATACAGTATTAAATGCAACATCATGGTGTTGAGGATGTTTTTATTCTACATGCAAACCCTTTCAGTTATTCAGTGTTTTTCTTTGAAAGGAACAGAAGGAAAAGAAAACATTTCAGAGATAGGATTTTATCCAAGACCAACAAGGGGTTTGGGAATTTGGACTTTGAGATGAAATGTACTCTAACACTTTTCCGGTTACACCTTATTTGCCCTCAGATCCCTTCAAGCCTTTTATCATCTTCTCCAACCGCCATGAGATCAGAAGGATTGATCTTCACAAGGGGGAGTTCAGTGTGCTGGTGCCAGGGCTCAGGAACACCATCGCTCTGGACTTTCATCTCAACGAGAGCACTCTGTACTGGACTGATGTCGTAGAGGACAAGATCTACCGTGGGAAACTGTCTGAAAATGGAGGTGAGGCAGCCACTTAGCTACTGCTTTCTGTAATTTGAGGTTACGCAGAAAGTAAAAATGAAGTAATAAAAACGTGTTTATATAGTAATATCTTAATTTTTTTGTTACCTCCTTTTATAAGTAAAATAAAAATAGTAAAATGGATTTTTCATTCAGAGATATATAGTCCTATTTGTGCTTTGGACTGAGCATTTCTAAGAAATTAACTTCCACTGAGCACTCTCTAATTTCCCAGAGCCAAATGTTATTCAAAAAGAGTCTGTGGTCAGCGGTCTGTGACCCTGAATAAATGGCCAGGTCATGGTCAGCCTTTCCTGATCCAAAACCCCAGGTCTCCTTGCCAATCAAGGTTGTGTTCCCAGAACAGCACTTAGGGGGCACACGGAAGGCTTTGTCTCTTCCCATTTGTCTCAGTACTTGATGTGCGTGACTGCAGCCAAAACACTGATGCAGCGTAGGAGGCAAACAAGCTGCAGTTCCAGTTCCCAGCCCTCCAACTTCACCATTAAAGCAGGAGTCCAGAGCAGAGACACTGTGACCAACTTGTAGATCAGCTCCTGCTGCTTGTTATTTAAGCCATTTCAGAAACTCTATAGTTGTTGGCATACTCTGGGTAGTGCTCACAGCTCAACAAAGACACCCTTACCCACACAAGGCAGCCATAACTCCAGCAAACTGTGAAGAGGGCCCATCCCTCTCCCTCTAATTACCACTGGAAGGCCATGTGAAAAACTTGTCTCATCGCCCTGAGCCAGAGATGATCGCGCATTTTGATTTGCACTTAGTCTGCATGAGAGCCGTTTCTGGCTGAAGAATAAAAGAGTGAGCGATCTGGTGTTAGATGTTTGTTTTCTTATAGCTTGGGTAATGGCGCTGAGCAGATCAGACACAGCAGCACTGCATGCCTTTTACTGACAGATTTAATAAGTTTAAATCATTTTAACTATTCATTGTTTGTCAGGGTTTTTCTTTTTTATTGCAGTGAACCACATTTGCGGGCTGGAAATGTGCTCTTTTTGTTGAAAGTGAAATAAGTCTAGCCTTTATACTAAATAAGATGAATTGGAGCATTAAAATAATAAAAGCTCCCTTTTTCAGCTTGAGTTTAATTTGTTAAAAGCTTGATAAAGTACCAAACACCTCTGCTAGCTTTAAGTCTCCTTTCTCTGTGTGCAGCCCTGACCAGTTTTGAGGTGGTGATCCAGTATGGACTGGCTACACCAGAGGGGCTGGCTGTGGACTGGATAGCAGGAAACATCTACTGGGTAGAGAGCAACCTGGACCAGATAGAGGTAGCCAAACTGGATGGGACCATGAGAACCACCCTGCTGGCTGGGGAGGTGGAGCATCCAAGGGCCATCGCCCTGGACCCACGAGATGGGTAAGAAGCATATATCTAAGGATAATGATACTGTAGTCAACCTTTAGGAAAATGAAACTTACACTTCCAATACCTTTACAGCTCATGATATATCCCTTATACCTACTTACTATCAACCTGACCTGTTCTCATGTGATGATGCTGTTAACATCTGTGAGAACCCCTCCTCACATTGATTTATTTTCTGTTTGCAGTATTCTATTTTGGACCGACTGGGATGCCAGCCTTCCCAGGATCGAGGCAGCGTCTATGAGCGGAGAAGGCAGACGCACCATCCACAGAGAAACAGGCAGCGGTGGCTGGCCCAACGGACTCACTGTTGACTACATGGAAAGACGCATTGTCTGGATTGATGCCAGGTAGCATTTGGCAGCAGTCTCTGAATACAGAGTGCTCTCATCGCACTGCATCCACCCACTCACTTATTACATCACCCACTTGCTTAGTCTTTGTTGCGTGTCATTATAAATGTTTGAATAAACAAGCAAATGTGCACTGCTTATGTAAAATGACATACAAGTAAAAACTCATATAGTAGAAACATGTATGCATTTAGGATGGTGCATATCATGTAACACTTTTGTCTCTGCTTAATTCCTCCTCCAGGTCCGATGCTATCTACTCTGCTAAGTACGACGGTTCTGGACTGATTGAAGTGTTGCGGGGTCATGAGTATTTGTCCCACCCCTTTGCTGTTACCATGTATGGAGGCGAGGTGTACTGGACCGACTGGAGGACTAACACTCTGGCCAAAGCCAACAAATGGACTGGACACAATGTCACTGTAGTCCAGCGAACCAACACACAGCCCTTTGACTTGCAGGTCTATCACCCCTCCAGACAGCCCCAGGGTAGGTTGCACACTAGATAGATATGCATAAAAGTTCAAAGAGAAAAGCACTCACGGAGAAAGAGAGAGAGAGGGAGTGAGAGTGAGAGAGCTGACTCAGTTTGGCTTTAAATCAAAGGAGAACAAGATCAAAGTTAATTATTGACTGTATTGATTCACAACTCCTATTCTCCAAAGACAGCTGACCTTTCAGAGCAGCAAGACATGTTGTCTCCTCACACCAGCAGCAATTTGGACACCTCCTGCTGCCTTGTTGATCAAAAAGTCACTTCACTCTTTGGCATTTTCCACTGGCTGGGTGGGAAATGAAACCTTCCTCCAGCGACTTAAAATGTTGTTTGTTGATCTCGAAGAAACACATGATTGACAAAATGAGAAAAAGATTTGCAGTTTTTTTATCAGATTGCCACCTTTAATAGCCACTGGCTACGGGATACAAAGTGGCCAGCAGAGAGGCACTCGGGTCTTCTCATGGAAGGCAGGAAAAGAGAGATCTCACAGAGTTGTTGATTGACAGCTGCAACCAATGGCCATGACAGTGATGAGGCAGCAAGCTGGCTTGATCGGTCTGGCAGACAGTCTTCTTGGGCTCTCGCTTAAGTGAGATTGATTGAGAGGTCTATTAGACACTATGATATTCTGAAAAATGAATATGTCTCTCATTAAGCTATCAGCTTTGATTAATATTATATTGTATATGCTTATGTTATTCTTTTTGTGGAGATGGTTTTGAAAATATATACACTTGCAATCTGAAGAGTGAGGCTTAAAGGAAATACATCCCCTTTGTCCTTTTGTGTCTCTCTTTTTCAAACATTTCCTCTACATTTTCTTATATTTTCAGCTCCTAACCCGTGTGCCACCAGTGACGGTAAAGGCCCTTGCTCCCACCTCTGTCTCATAAACTTCAACCAGACCTTCTCCTGTGCCTGCCCTCACCTCATGAAGCTCCAGCCTGACAAACGCACATGCAAAGGTAATGACAGTTAGTCACAAACACCTACAATTTTTTTCTTTTTAAAACCTTCATCCAACACTGTCATATTTAATCCAATTCAGCAAGTAGCAAGACACGGGCTCTTCGTTTTCAGGAATCTATTCTCACAACTGTCATGACTGGTATGGTGTGCTCAGCTCCCGAACGTGACATCAACGGCATAAGCTGTCATTTTCTAAGACAGAATATCGAATTACGCCTCCTTTGTCTGTGCCACGTGGCTTTCTTCACTTTCATCTCCATTTAATTTAAAATAAAATACTGTCTCAAAGGTCCTAATTTATTGCTGTGTGATTTTAATGAGGAGGTTTCAAGGGGTATCTTTGGAAATCTGTGTGAGTGTCTGTCTAAATGTTACGCATTCTACAGAACAATCCTCATCTCAGCAGGGTAGATTTAAGCATAATTGGATTAGAGGGTGTCTGATGCATTCCCCTTCAACACGATAACTTTCAGGGAGCTGAGCAGAGTGTCAGCTAAACTCAACTCGGACCACTTACAATGATTAGAGCACCATGCATTTTTGACTGAGGAAGTAATTTGTTATCTCCCCCCTCTCACCTCTCGGGATGTAATGAAGCCTTAGCAAGAGCAACATGTTTCTGACGGGTCACTTTGACACTCTTGAGCTTTATCTACTTGGATCCAGCTTGTTTCACCCTTTGATTGCTCAGGCTAGTGCAGTGAGAAAAAGCCTGGACTTAACTCATCTTTTAATCACCATGTATTTGAATGATTATGAATGGGTGCGAAACACTTCAGCATGTGGTAAAAAGTCTTAAGTAAAGCAAGCTAAAAAAAGGACTTCTTCCCTTTTCACTTCTCTATTTGCATCATTTGTATAAAAAATTGAAATAACTTAGAAAAATGCAACAAGTGAGATTTATTTTTCTCAGTACATTATTTTTTTCTTCTTCTCAGAGTCCCGCAAGTTCCTTCTATATGCCCGTCAAATTGAAATCCGGGGTGTTGACATCGACAACCCTTACTACAACTACATCATCTCCTTCACTGTGCCGGACATAGACAACGTGACAGTTGTGGACTTTGATGCCGTGGAGCATCGCATCTACTGGTCCGATGTCCGAACGCAGACAATCAAGAGAGCTTTCATTAACGGCACAGGCGTAGAGACTGTTGTGACTGCTGGTGAGCACAAAGAGATGAATATCAGTCTAACTTATTTTTAGTTTACAGTTTCTGTAGCTCTCTAGAAATCTGATGAAACCCTAACTTTCTCCACTGTGGTTCTGACAATTCCCAGACCTTCCTAATGCTCACGGGCTTGCAGTAGACTGGGTGTCCAGAAACCTGTTCTGGACCAGCTATGATGCCAATAAGAAGCAGATCAATGTGGCCAGACTCGATGGATCCTTCAAGAATGCTGTCATCCAGGGATTAGACAAGCCCCACTGTCTTGTGGCACATCCACTACTGGGGTGAGTGTTTTCTTTTACTTAATAAGGCCTGCATTCAGATTGAGATAGGAATTCTGACTATTATGCGCTTTTTCAGTTTTCTATTTCATAATCAAGAGCATATTTTTCCCTATGTGCTTTATAACAATATACTTGGGTGAAAATGTTCTAGGTACAGCTGTTGTTCCTAGGGATGTCCCGATCACCTTTTTTTGCTCCCGATCCGATTCCGATCATTTGATTTTGACAATTTGCCGATACCGATCTTTCCCGATACCGATCTTTCCCGATACCGATCTTTCCCGATCCGATCTTTATGCAATGCATTAAGAGGGAAAAAAAAAAAAAAAGCATTGAAGTTGTCCCTTAAGGTTATTTTTTTAATTTAAATTGGATATTCTATCCAACATGGATATAGCTTCTTTTTTTCACAGCAGCTTTGGATCAGTTCAGTTGTGCAGCATTGGATCAAAACAAAATAAAGCTTATCAGTACTCGTTAGCTTACTGCTACAATTAGACACTGCGCCCTGCCCACTCTGTTGCCAGATTTGAGAGAAATAAGCAACCAGGTCTATGAAAACAAGCCCCAAAGAAGCAACACATACATGATGTTGTGTAATTTGAAACCAAAACTAAGGCCTCAGGATGACTTTAAGACTTGAACATGGTCATTTTTGTTTTGTAATATTGAATAAAAAAATAAATAAAAAGTATAAAAAAAAAAAAATCCCGATCCCCGATTTTTTTCTCCCGATTCCGATCTTTTGAAAATCACGTGATCGGCTCCGATCCCCGATCACGTGGTCGGATCGGGACATCTCTATTCGTTCCAGTTCTTCTTTAGCCTGCTTGTTGTTCCCCATGTGTTGCTTCTGTGCTGGCTCCTACCAGGATAATTATTTCATAGAACATTGCTCTGCTCAGAAAATAAATGTCAGCTCCTCTTCATGTAACGAGACATTTATATCCCTCCTCAGGAAGCTGTACTGGACTGATGGTGACAACATAAGCATGGCTAACATGGATGGCGGCAACCTAACTTTACTTTTCACTGATCAAAAAGGACCAGTTGGTAAGTAGATGAACCCCCCAATGAGAAAGATAACTCTATTGAACCTACTGAACCCCTATTTAAATGTAGGGGTAAAAGCAAGGATTTAGCATACTTTATTAGATTGGTAATTCTTTCCACTCAGGCCTCTCTATTGACTATGAAAAAGAGCAGCTGTACTGGATCAGCTCGGGAAACAGCACCATCAGCCGCTGTCAGCTGGATGGAACTAAACTGGAGATCCTGGAAGGTGTCAAAGGAAAACTTACCAAGGCAACTGCTCTGGCTATTATGGGTACGATAAAACATATGTTTATTTAAATGTTACACTCTCTGTTTTCTAATGTTTCTAGTATAAAAGTTGATAGTTAGATAATTTCACTGCTTACATGCTCAGACATCACTAGCCGATGTTAAAGGGAAGACATACTAATACACAAATCAACTTTCCTCACTGTAGGAGACAAGATGTGGTGGGCCGACCAGGGAACTGACCAGATAGGAACATGTGACAAGGAGGACGGAGGGAACTGGAAGGTTTTGCGAAACAACACCTCGCCTATGATGCACATGAGGATCTACGATGAGGATGTACAGAAAGGTAGGGAAATCCCTTGAAGAAAATCGTTTATATGCTTTATATCAATTATCATAACACATTATAAAGAAGTTTTTAATGACTTATAAGACCTAGCACCACAATGCTTAATAGTTGCTGGTCACCTGCTGACGTTGTTTTCGTAAGGATCATAGTGTTTTATAACTCCAATAGTTGTAATCAATTATAATGTTTTTATCATGGATAATGCCTTTTTTCGACATCACTGATCCTCTCCTTTTTCTCTTTTCAGAGGGTATCAACCTGTGCAGCAACAACAATGGAGACTGCTCCCAGCTGTGTCTACCCACCTCACCAACCACCAGGGCCTGCATGTGCACTGCAGGATACAGCCTGAAGACCGGACAGCAGTCCTGTGAAGGTAAGACAAGGCTCCACAGCTGCAGTCATACACTCAGTAACAATACAGTTTTCCCTGAAAAACTAAAACATACTGTACCTTCTCTGAGCAGGCATGGGCTCCTTCCTGCTTTACTCCGTTCACGAGGGAATCCGAGGAATTCCACTCGACCCGGCAGACAAATCTGACGCCTTGGTGCCGGTGTCTGGCACCTCTCTGGCCGTCGGCATCGACTTCCACGCTGGTAAGTGACACTGAGCGACATCAATAACTTGATTGAGTGATATTTTAAAGCTGCCATTATCTCCATGAAGTGAGTATTCATAGGAAGACACAAAACACCTCTTTGTTTTCAGAGAATGACACAATCTACTGGGTGGACATGGGCCTGAGCACCATCAGCAGGGCTAAGAGAGATCAGACATGGAGAGAAGATGTCATCACCAACGGCATCGGCAGGGTGGAGGGCATCACCGTCGACTGGATAGCAGGTGTGATCCTAACACATTTGAAATCCTATTTCAGTTAAATTGTAAATATTACACAAAAGACCACATAGCTGATTGGTATACCTGTTCTTTTATAGGGAATATTTACTGGACTGACCAGGGCTTTGACGTGATCGAGGTGGCCCGGCTGAATGGCTCCTTCCGTTATGTCGTCATCTCCCAGGGCCTGGACAAGCCCAGAGCCATCACTGTTCACCCAGTCAAAGGGTTAGTCTCCCTGCAACAGTTGAATACTCTTTAATAACCTTCAAGTTGTCACAATCTAGACTGAATCTGAAAGAAATATACAGCTAAATCCCCATAAAATACACTTTTAAATAATGTTGTTTGCGTCCTTGTGTTTAGGTATCTGTTCTGGACTGAGTGGGGTCAGTACCCTCGGATTGAGCGCTCCCGGTTGGATGGCTCTGAGAGGTTGGTCCTGGTCAATGTGAGCATCAGTTGGCCCAATGGGATCTCCGTCGACTACGAGGTGTGTGGACCACAGCGGACTCCTTTAGCACATTTGTCATAATTAATAGTATCATGCTGGTATCTTCCTTGCTAATTTGAACAAATATACTGTGACTTTTCCAAAGACTGGATCATTCGTCAGCTCTTATTCTATGCCATGAGAATGATCCATACATTTATAGATGTATATTGTAGTAGGGGTTCAGTATACGACCTAAGATGTCATATATATATAATTTATGTTTGTAAATAACTCAATTTAATCTAGCCTCAAAATAGTTCCATTTATTCTTTGTAAATTGTACCAGTCCCCCATATTACTTATTACTTTTAGCTTGGTATATGTGACTTAATACTATTAAAAAGTACTTGTAACCTAGATTTAGAGCTGCCACAAGTTCTAATTAAGGCCAATGATGGTCTACTAAAATCACAACTTAATATGATCTAGTATTCTATATTTAATATGCAAGTTCCTTACCTTCCTTGAAAAATTAACATTTGTATTTCTGCTTTTCTCTGCAGGGGGGGATGCTGTATTGGTGCGATGCAAGGACAGATAAGATTGAGCGTATCAACCTGGAGACTGGAGAGAACAGGGAGCTGGTGCTTGCCAACAACAACATGGACATGTTTGCTGTATCCGTTTTTGAGGAATTCATTTATTGGAGTGACAGGTCGGTTCTGAGGATAATTGTTTTGTTGAACCAACCATTGAACCATCTTTTTCTATTGCTCTATTATCCAGTCATGCATGACAGCTTTTGAGTCATGTGGAAGATTTTATTTTGTATTGTGCTGTTAATCTTTTGTTCAGGACTCATGCTAACGGCTCCATCAAGAGAGGCAGCAAAGACAACGCTACGGATGCTGTGCAGCTCAGGACTGGCATTGGTGTACAGCTGAAAGACATAAAGGTTTTCAACAGGGCCAGGCAGCAAGGTAGCAACACAGAAAACCCCCACTCTCATCCCAAGTCACCCACAAACCCACTTTTTTGCAATGAAGTCTGTTAAACATGTCCTCACCAAAATAGCGAGCTGCCCTGAGTTTGTTCTCACATAAGCAGGCCCTATCATACTCCCAACTATCAAATCTTTTACCACCCAATGTAAATCCACACCCCTCAGGAATCAATGACATTTAAAATGTGTTTAACAAGGTGCATTATTTGTTTAACAATATACCTCGTAAATGTGTTACACCTACCCCAGGCACCAACGTCTGCAAAGATAACGGCGGCTGTGAACAGCTGTGTCTTTTCCGTGGCAACGGGCAGCGCACCTGCGCCTGTGCTCACGGCATGCTGGCAGAGGACAACCGTGGTTGCCGTGACTATGACGGATACCTGCTTTACTCGGAGCGTACCATTCTGAAGAGCATCCACCTCTCCGACGAAACGAACCTCAACGCACCAATAAAGCCGTTTGAGGACCCTGACCACATGAAAAACGTCATCGCCCTCAGCTATGACTATCATGGCGGTGGAGGGAAGGGAGCTAACCGCATTTTCTTCAGCGACATCCACTTTGGCAACATCCAGCAGATCAACGATGATGGCACAGACCGCAAGATTGTTGTGGATAGTAAGTATGGAGTCATTAACCACATCACGTCATTCTTTTCAACACTTCATGAAATCTACAAAACTCTCCACCTCACATCACAGAAACATTTCCCTCCACTCTGTCTGACTACATATACTTCAGCTGGGTTGCCTTTTTTGTATTCTGTCCATTAATAATTGAATGCTATGTCTCGTCTCCTCAACACTTCAAACAGCCATCATCAGACATTTTGAAAACACAAGCACCCACAAGGATTCACTGTGTGTACACACAGCTGCAGCTTCTCAACTAAAGGAGATTGACATCACTAAGGGCTGCCACTTGAAGAAGAAACACTTTCAGACACAACCACACTGTGCTTTTCCTTGTTTCTACACTAAAGTGTCTTTTAAATTCCCATCTCTTTTTAAATGATTAAAGACTAGGTTGTAGAACTACATCCAGAAGAACTACATTTAAAAGCCCAGGACCCTAAGGTGTTCTCAGTAAGCAGTATGCTAAAATGAATTCAGAATGTGAAAGGAAAGGAAACCAGTACAGAGCATGGGGTTAGTTTGTTTATTGATGTTGTTTTGAACATATTTTGAAAAGGATGAATAGTTTATCCACATTCTTTTTTATCTACCTACTAGAGAACATTTTCCTGGTCAGGAATTGAATATAGCTGAGGTTAGAGGAGTGTATTATTCCTAGATAAGGCAATAACACATAAAAACTTTGAACCTATTTGAATATATCGCAATGAAATGAAAGTCATAGCATCACTTTGACAACTGGATATGTAACATTTTATACATTTCAACACAGCAACATAATATATGAAAAAAAAGTCAAGCATTACTGTAAGTGAGAAAATGAGGTAGCAGTGTTTTCTTTCGGTCCAAAAAGTCAGTTTTGGCCGATCTCTGAGGTTGTGTCCAGCTCAAAGCGCTGTACCATGTCCCTGCCCATAACATCAGGACAACCAATCAGACAGCTTCTGCACGTTGCCCAGCGTTCTCTCCCCAGCTCTAATAAGTCTCGTCTAAACTTCTGAGACATAAACCCATACAGTATAGGGTTTACCACGGCTACCGACGATGCCAACAGTCTGGCCAGGATGGCAAAAGTTTTGTAGCCAGGTGTGAGCATCATGCCTCCTCCAATGAAGGAGAACATGAGGCCGTAGGAGGGCAGCCAGAGGAGAGTGAAGACCAGGACCAGGAGGGCTGAGGTGTGAGTGACCTGGCTCTGGTAGCGCTCCAGCTGGGGAGCGTTCCCCAGCAGCCGTGCATGTCGAAGAAAACAGTAGATCTTGGCATACATCAGTACAATGATGCCCAGTGGTAGAGCGAAGCCGAACAGGAAGAGGGCGATGCTATAGACCAGCTGGCTGAAGTCAGACAGGAAGGCAAAGCAATAAACTGCGCTAGAGACGGTCACTGTACGGAAGGCAAACTGCGGCGCTGCCAAGGCGGAGGCAGGGACCCAGAGCAGAGCTACAGTTAGCTTAATGCGTCGGTGCATTCTAGATCGGTACGTCCAGGTGGGGTGTACCACTGTGAGGTAACGTGTCACAGCCAAAGCTGCCAGGGTAAAGACTGAAGCAGACGAGCAGGCCACACCCAGGAAGCTGATGGCCTTGCACATGAAGCTGCCGAAAGGCCAGAAGCCCAGGGTGATGGCGGAGGTGTGGAAGGGCAGGCAGAGCAGCAGCAGCAGGTCGGCAGCACTCAGAGCCAGCAGCAGGGTGTCCGTGCCATGGGGGGGTTGACTTTTCTTCCTCCTCCTGCCATTAAGAATGGTAATGACCAGGGTTTGACCCACCAGGCCTGTCACCAGAATCAGTCCATCCAGGATGGGCACAACGGTTTTCATCAAAGCCTCATTTGCCCTTTGCATTCGAGCAAAGCTGCTACTGTTTGCGTTCTGTTCTAAAAGCTCCATTTATTCAGAATTAAAGTTCATTGAGTAATTCATCTATTGGCCTGTTAATGTTTAGCATCAGAGCACTTGGCTGCAGTGCATGTCTTAAATTGAATTCATCACAGGTATGAACACTCTCCATTTAGGCAGCTAATACCCTCATAATGATAGCAATTAGCTAAGCGGTTACGATTGTGCTAATCATTGACATTTATAATCCAAGCAAAAACAAACATGTCGTAGTCAGAATTAATTTTAATTTTACGTTGCCAGAGATAGTCAAGTGGTGAAGTCGCTCCCCCGCGAGCCACACATCCTCCTCCTCCTGTCTTGTTGAATCCCTCTAAAAATGTGCCTCTTCCACTGTGTCACCTTCACTGTTTTTTCCAGATGTTAGAAGAAATGATATCTACATAAAGATGACTGGATACTCGGTTCCGGAAAAAAGTCAAATGTCTAAAAGGCTCTGCTGTTTTCCAGTTTGTTTAGAAAGCTAACATGACCTTAAAGTGCAGTCCTCGCACACTGGCTTTTCCTTGGCTGCATCAGCATGTCCTTAATAATCCAAGAAATAGGAAATGAAAACTGGAACGATGTCATTGCAGCACTTGCTTTATGGCTGTATTGATTTCTTGAAACCAGGCAACAGTTCACAGATTCATCCCAGTGGTTGCTAACAGAAATTCCACTTAAAAAGCAGTCAATGCTACTTGATGCTCAGTGGTCGCCTCGGCAGGAGGCATCTGGTCCATTTAGAAGCTCTCCAGAGACTTGAAACCTTGTCACAAGCAGAAGAAATACTGTACGATTCACATGACCTTTGATAGTTGAAGCAAGAAAAGCGTAAAATAAACAGTAACAGGAGATAAGCTATTCTCAGGTCTCCCTTGGTGTACTACACTACTGCTGTGATCGTAAGAGAGGCTCGGTCCTCAGTGGAAAATGTCTTTCCGTCAGGTTTTCCCACTGTTTGCACAGTAACAAGGGGATGAGCTGATCCAGGCAAGGGGAGGAGAGACGTTGCTGTTTCTCATTACATAATACTGCCTCAAGCCTACTTTATTAAACCCTATTTAGTATGTCATCTTCTCCTAACCGAAGCAATTAGCTGCCCAAGTACACCTTTTTCTGATTGTTGAAGATGGAATAAACAAGGTTGTCTTTGTTTGCCTGACTCCGTAGGCAATCGTTAACCGGTCTCTTAGTCTCATTTCGTTGGTTAACAAGGTATTGAGCCTTAAAATTGTCCTGCAATAACTTTGATTATGGCACTTCTTCATTCATTTGAAACACCTATTAAAGGGCAATTATTGACTTTCAGCCAAGGGCAAACAGTTGTGTGGAGCCTTTAGGTTTTTATTGTTGGGTGTAAGTGGTCATAAATGTGGTTGCTAGTGTGACCAGGAACAGATGGAAACACACATTGGAACCTGTAAGGCTACACTAAAGTGTCCTTTTCCATGATGTTGTCTGTCATGTAGGCCCCACAGTTCATATTGTTACCACAACTGTATGTACTGTAAAGATTTTGGAGGTTGCAGGACGAAAGGGCGATAGAAATTGAGAGCAACCACTTTATTTTTGTCCTTTGTCGTCTTAACCCTGGCCTATGTCCCTAAAGTCACTGAAGCTGTTGCAGTGTCAGAAGAAGTCACCACAAATGAGAGTCCACAGGGAGCAGTATTTGTATGTGAAGGCAGTCAGCCATTACATGACAGGTTGATGTATACGCCTTGACTTCTGTGTGGTACCACTTCCATTTCACTCTGTCTTTTTAACTGTCCTTTTAGCCTTGTCCTTCCTCACACTGTTTCTCCATGCATGAACTAATACAGGAAGATAAGGATAAACATAAAAGCATTAACTAATGCCTCTTTGAAAACGTCTCACAGAGTTAACCATAAGGCAACTTGTTGAATTATGACGATGATTTATTGAGTTTTTGCTGATGGCCCTCTTTAAATCTCCCACATACACCCCTGGGAGTCGATATATTTGTTATACTGAAATAAAACGGCTTCTCAAGCGTTTTGCTTTTAACAGCTTAGGCTGGAAGACGACAAAAGGACTATTGTCTTAAAGATTATCGTCATGGGTGTATAATATTAACACAGGGCCAATTTCTTCCTTCTCTGCTCCACAGATGTAGGGTCAGTAGAGGGCCTGGCGTACCACCGTGGTTGGGATACTCTTTACTGGACCAGTTACACAACCTCCACCATCACTCGCCACACTGTGGACCAGAGCCGCTCTGTGGCCTATAACCGCAACACTGTGGTCACCATGTCTGGAGAAGACCACCCCAGAGCCTTTGTGCTGGACGAGTGTCAGGAGTGAGTCATTAATATTGAAACTTGGGGCTCTGCACTGTATCAGGACCCAGCTCCAATCCTGTTTTTTCTCTTTCTTTTGAACAGTGGATTTATTTGAGATCAGTCAAACATAACGTTTATACCAAGTCATTTTTGGAGCTCCCACTGCACATCATTATCCTTATCCTGTTTTTGCTCCCACTACAGTCTCATGTTCTGGACCAACTGGAATGAGCAGGCTCCAAGCATCATGAGGGCCTCTCTGAATGGCGCCAATGTGCTAGCCATCATCGGCTCCGACATTAAAACTCCCAATGGCCTGGCCATAGATCACCGTGCTGAGAAACTTTACTTCTCCGACGCCACACTGGACAAGATTGAACGCTGCGAATATGATGGAAGCAGCCGTTACGTAAGACAGCCCTTTATTTTTTTCCGTTGACCAAATCGAGGGGGTTGACTTGCATTTCAGTGTTCTGTGAAATGATGCCTAAATCTTTCTGCTTCAGGTCTTGTTGAAGAATGAGCCTGTTCATCCATTTGGCTTGGCTGTGTATGGAGACTACATCTTCTGGACTGACTGGGTGAGGAGGGCCGTCCTCAGAGCTGACAAATACACAGGAGGAGACATGAAACTGCTGCGTGCTGACATCCCTCAGCAGCCAATGGGGATCGTTGCTGTGGCTAATGACTCCAACAGCTGTAAGTATTGTTCACTGAAGTCCCCATAAGGTTTGTGTAGGTTTCTCCTCCCCTTGGTGGAATGTTAAAGGCTTGTTTTGCAGTGTTTCCAAAGTCAGTGATTTTAATTCATGATTGTAGCGGAGATTAAGGAATGTCCATGACGGTCTGTTTTTTCACCAATTCAGTGTGAGGTGTGAGTGTTTTTGATATTTTGGCACAGATATCCAGCTCAGGATGAAACGTAATCACTTTGGTGATATCCGGAAAATCTTCAAAATTGCATTTGTCAAACTTTGCTTAAGATACAAATACCTGCAAAAAAGTGTCTATTCCCACTCGCTTCAGCTGTACTTGTCTTTATTGCTAATTAGCAAATGTTAATATTCTAACAAGATAAAGTAAGATGGGGAGGAGGGTTAACCTGCTAAAACCCAGCATGTTAGCATTGTGAATGTGACCCTGTTGCCTTGCTGGTGTTAGCTGTCATTTCTTGGTCTTGTGAAGCCTAGTTCCACAGACTTAAATCACTTCAAAAGGATATAACGCATTACATTATTACCTCCTAATCCTCCCGTGTCATTCTTCCCTAGGTGAGTTTTCCCCTTGCCGATCAAATAACGGAGGTTGCCAAGATCTATGTCTTCCCACATCTGATGGACGGGTCAACTGTAGTTGCCGTGGAGACAGAACACTCCTGGATGACAACACCTGCTCTGGTAAGAGAAAGTCTTAAGACATTTAACAATTACATTTTGCTTTTGATTAAAAGGTTAGGAGTTGCTGAAATAAAAATGTTCCTACCTGACCAGCTCTGAACGTGTCGTGTGGAAGTGTGGATGACTTTGAGTGTGGAAACGGCGACTGCATCAACTACAGCCTGACCTGCGATGGCATGGCTCACTGCAAGGACAAGTCTGATGAGAAGCAGTCCTACTGTGGTGAGGATTCTTAATAGGCTTTTGCTTAGTAAGCAATGAGCTGTAACAAGTCAGTGTTTAAATGTATCAATTGTGGATAATTAGCTGATGGTTGTAATAAAAGCAATTGAGAATGAGTTTAACAATACAATTAATTGTAATTAGATCATTAAGGTGTGGGAAAGCAAGAGATAAAATGTTACTTTAGAATAGCCAAGGAAACCAGTGTGAATTTTTAGCTAAGCGGAGGGGTGAAGAGACATTTAGTGTTTGATACAGAATATGTAGTCTGTTTCATTTATATAATAATGAATTGGTGGATAAGGCCGTTTTTAGAATATGCAAAAAAGGACTCTTCAGGCTCTAATCAACTGTTGTTCATCCACAGCCAATCGACTCTGTAAGAAAGGCTACAGACGCTGCATTAATGGCCGCTGCATAGGCCACCAGTTCTGGTGTGACGGCACAGACGACTGTGGTGACCACTCAGATGAACTACCCTGCAACAGTAAGACACTATTTCAGGCTGCAACTGATCGGAAAAAACCCTTTATCTTTTGATAGATGAAAGCTTTTGACACCGTTGTTTCCCATTTGTGATAACCCTGTGTTCCTCCCTCAGTGACCCTGTGCAAAGTAGGAGAGTTCCAGTGCAAAGATGGAAGCTGTATCTCCAACTTCAGTCGTTGTGACCAGGTGGTCAACTGTGAGGATGCTAGTGATGAAATTAACTGCCGTAAGTAATCTACCATCATGATTTAATCAAATGGGGAAAGCTGATGAAAATAATATTAATGGATTTGTCGAGATTGTTTTCGAGGTTTTTGAAAGCTTTTCCAATATTCACAGACCAAACTGATTGCGCCCGTTTCTTCCGCCTGGGAGTGAAAGGAGAGTCTTTCCAGAGCTGTGAGAAAACCACTCTGTGTTATCTGTCCTCATGGGTCTGTGACGGCAACAACGACTGTGGAGACTTTTCAGACGAGAGAAACTGTCCAGGTCTGGTGCTTTGTCAAACCTCTAAGATGCTTAATGCTTTTCTTAATTTGTCAAAGATTCTACAATACGTTTTCCTTTTTGTTTTTCAGATAAAAAGAAACTCAAATGTCCAGTCAACTTCTTTGCGTGTCCCAGTGGTCGCTGCATTCCTATGAGCTGGACCTGTGATAAAGAAAATGACTGTGAGAACGGAGCTGATGAGACGCACTGTGGTCAGTATACAAGTTTTCCTTGTGTTACCAAAAGCAAAACAGGCTTTTTTTCCTTCAGGTTTCACATATGGAAAAACCTTCTGTGAGGCTAAACGAAATACTTAGCTGTCTCCTAAATGCTAACCTCTCCTTTTTCTTCTTACAGACAAGTTTTGTACATCCACCCAGTTTGAATGTGGGAACCACCGCTGCATTTCCAGCCACTGGGTGTGTGACGGCGCCGATGACTGTGGTGATGGTTCAGATGAGGACCAGAAATGCAGTAAGTGGCATATTACTTGCAAATGTTAAACTACTTTCTTCCACACCCAGTGAAGCTATTTGACTGTGTGCGTATGATTTCCTGTATGTAACTTTCCCGTAATGACGTCACAGAATCCAAGACTTGCAGTCCTGAAGCCTTCCAGTGTCCCGGCTCCCACATGTGTGTGCCTCAGCGCTGGAAGTGTGATGGAGACAAAGACTGTCTTGATGGAGCTGATGAGAGCGTCAAGGCTGGCTGCAGTGAGTGGAACAATTACAAAATAACCTTAGAAAATGTTGTAAGTGGAAAAATAACCAAACCCTACCAACCAAGTTCCATCTCAGTTCACCAAAGTGTGTTCTTTTCCCTTCCAGTGTACACCAACAGCACGTGTGATGATAACGAGTTCATGTGCCAGGACAGAGAGTGTATCCCCAAGCACTTTGTGTGTGATCACGACATTGACTGCTCCGATGGCTCTGATGAATCCCCAGAGTGTGGTGAGTGGTTGGGATCCTGAAGAGATATGCAGGAAGACTGAGCAGAAAGCTGGACAATTAAGGGTTGTGAGAGATTTGTGATTCCTTTTGAACATACCTGATGAACATACTCTTCCTCCGATGTAGAATACCCAACATGTGGTCCAGAAGAGTTCCGCTGTGCCAACGGCCGCTGCCTCAACCAGAAGAAATGGGAGTGTGACGGAGAGTTTGACTGTCAGGACGGCTCTGATGAAGCTCCCAAGAACCCACGCTGCACTGACTCAGGTTGGCATTAAGGGGATTATATTCTTGTTTAGAAAGGCCATAGCTGCATCCTGTTTCGAAGTGACACTAATGCAACATGCCATTTGTCTATGATTTCAGAGAGGACGTGTAATGAGTCAGCCTTCATGTGCCGCAATGGGAAGTGCTTGAATGAGACTCTGCTGTGTGATCGCAACGATGACTGCGGAGACGGCTCTGATGAGCTCAACTGCTTCATCAACGAGTGTCTCAACAGCAAGCTCAGTGGCTGCTCGCAGCTCTGTGATGACCTCAAGATTGGCTATAAGGTAAGCCGTCTAATTGGCGGTTTTAATGCCTTTTTTGACCCCAATTTTTCAAGAGAATTAAATCAAATCTAATTACTTTTTGAACTCAATGACTTTAATTGTGCAAGAAATATGGGTCTAATAAGCACGCAGACAAATTAGGGGCTATTAATGGTGAGAACCTGAAGTAAAAAGATCGGGAACCGCTCACTTCAGGCATGCGGTTATGGAAGACAAAAACAGGTTTTGTCTCTCTTCCTTGAAGGTAGGAGGCCAGTCTTTGAACAGCTGGAACTCTGTGTGAACTCTCATGTCTGTGGTGGTGAGGCTTTGGCCAGCTTTATCTCAAAAATAATAAGGAACAATTCTTGCCCTAAAAAGTTATGACCGCTTTATAAAACACAGATGTTTATGACAAGTGAAAGCTTAAGCAGATTTGACGATTAATGAAGAGCTCTTTTGCCGTGCTTTCTTTTAGATGATGCTCATGCCACTTATTTGACACATTAGGTGCCAGCTTCTTTTTTAGTCATGCTTTTCTTATTTTTGTGCAGCTTACCTTACAACTGAAATGTCATGACAGTGTCAGGATAATCGACAGAAATATAAGTTCCACTCTACATTGGTGAAGAACAACACATGTATCAGGCTGACTGAGAGATTTCTTATGACAGGCAGTGGCAGACCCTTTTCATTAGTCCAGACTAAAGGTGAGAAGTGAGAACTGACATTGTTCCTGTGCTCTTGGCCCCTCCAGTGCAGGTGTCATGCTGGTTTCCAGCTTAAGCGGGACGGCAAGTCGTGTGTGGACATAGACGAATGCACAACCACCTACCCCTGTTCCCAGCGCTGCATCAACACACACGGCAGCTTCCACTGTCTTTGCGTAGATGGCTTTGAACTCAGCCCCAATGACCCCACCATCTGCAAGTCCACATCAGGTAAGCCATGCTGGTGTGTGTTTGGCAACTGGCTGGTTGCTTATATCCCATTCATTCCTAACCATCTTTCCTGTCTGGTTTATACGTGTAGAGGAAGAGCCCTACTTGATCTTTGCTAACCGCTACTACCTGAGAAAACTCAATCTGGATGGGTCCAACTACACCCTTATCAAACAGGTGAGACTCACTGGCTCTCAGTTTGATTTACTGAAACGGAACAAGGTGATATTGTTATTGTTCGCACACCATACATTTTTTTTATATTGTTCCTACACCATACATTTTTTTTATATTGTTCCTACCTCTGTTTCAGGGTCTGAATAATGCAGTGGCACTGGACTTCCACTATGCAGAGAATATGATCTACTGGACAGACGTCACCACTCAGGGCAGCATGATTCGACGCATGCTTATGAACGGCAGCAACATAGAGGTCAGTGAGGAGTCTAGGAGGAGTCTCTCCTTTAAGCCAGCCAGCATGTTATCCTCAGTATATACCACTTTTAATGATAGCTATGTGACTTAAATCTTTATTTTTGTCTAATCCTGTGTCCTACTATTGTGGCAGGTGTTGCACCGGACCTCTCTGAGTAACCCGGATGGCTTGGCAGTGGATTGGGTTGGCGGGAACCTGTACTGGTGTGACAAAGGCCGGGACACTATTGAGGTTTCGAAACTCAATGGCGCCTACCGGACTGTGTTGGTCAACATTGGCCTGAAGGAACCTCGCGCTGTGGCTGTGGATGTTCGCTATGGGTGAGGAACACATCTTGAATTCCATTTACATGCTATCAAAACAGTCATAGGATAAATTATTTACGATTCACTTTACTCTAACTGCATCACCTGCTTAATCCCCGCTGCTTAGGTACCTGTATTGGTCAGACTGGGGAGATAACCCTCACATTGGACGAATCGGGATGGACGGCACCAACAGAAGCGTCATCGTAGAGGATAAGATCACGTGGCCCAATGGGCTCACCCTGGACTTCATCAATGACCGTATATACTGGGCCGATGCCAGGGAGGACTACATTGAGTTTGCCAGCCTGGACGGCACTAACAGACACACAGGTAAAATACCAATTTAAAAATGGCACAGAAACAAAGACAAAGCTCATTCTAAAACAACAGCAAATCTTGGGGTTTGAATTCGACACCTAACAATCACCATAACCCTTGTTGAGACTGTGATAAGGGGCCAATAGTTCCTACTCGTGTTGCGCTTTAGTTCCTGAGATAGGAAACAGTTGATTGCTAGATTGTTGCATCTTCAACTTGAATTATTAAGCATTTATTGATGAAGTCTATGAAGTAAAGCTGATGTTGAAGTGTTTTTATCTTATCTAGTTAAGAAGTGAAACTACGAATGACATTGCCACACTAGTGGTGAAACTGAATATATAGAAAACTGATGTTTTGTTGTGTCCACATTTTATAGTGTGGCAGGCTAATGGGATTTTCCTACTTGTTTGGCAGCCACCGAGCGTAAGCAGGCAGGTCAGATTGTTGCCCGTCGAGCTAAAGTCCTGCAGCACAGGCCTAGCAGACAGAAGCCTTTTTTGTTCTGACCAGTGAGGCCTCCCGCATGTATGATGTCTGCACAGCACTCTGTTGTCTAGCACACTTACTACAATAGTTGATATTGTCAGCAACCCAGGCGTGCAGAATAATTTTGGAGCGCTGCTGGGCGTCTGTATTGTTTAATTTCAGCTTCTGAATATTTCATTCAACACAATGTTCTAGCAGGAAAACTGCAATGGAAAAATACTATTCAGAATATCACAATTCATAATAAAACATCTCCTGTAATAGCTTGCAGTGTAAGCCCACCAGTAGTTTGTCCAGGGAGTTATTCGCCCATCCTTTGATACACACAGACACATACACAAACATACTTTCTCGTTCGCACAAAATACTATTTTCTGCGCACAAGATAGTATTTTGTGCAAACGAGAAAGTATTTTGTTAGTTTCTCGTTCGCACAAGAAAGTTACCGGTGCGCCAAGTAGGACGTGGAGCACAGAGGAGACAACTGTTTCATTGCAGACTGTTATGTTTATGTGGAGAAATGGCAGTGCATTCATTATTTGAGATATATTTCATTTAGTGACATTTTGGCCACGGGTTTAAAGCTATTTGTTTAAGCAATGGATTCGCAAAACAGAAGAGTCTGTAAACCAGTCCGCTTTGATCTATAAATTCCTGTCCGTGACTCTCACAGTATCTGCTGCCCACAGCTGTTCTATAGAAGGAAAACCTCCTTCACTTTATGAAATCTCTGCGGCACCAGTGGCCTGTACTAAGAAGAAGGATTTACTATTTATTTACTATTCATTCATGAAGTATGACGCTGCGCTAGGGCTGTGCGATTATGGCAAACATCATAATCACGATTATTTGGGTCAATAATTGATATCACGATTATTTTGACGATTATTCATTGACCATTTATTGAACTTTAAAACAAATAATATTTTACCAATAAACA